AATTTTTACAATAAAAGTAGCGATGCTATCGAAGTGGATGTCAATATCCGAATTCTTCCCAACATATTCATTGTACAAGGGTAGCGCGGACCAACGGTGAAAAACGACCCAAATTAGTTCTGGATAGCCTGGACTTAAACAATTTGCATGGATATCTGGGGATTTTGGCGGGGACATTGCAAAGGCGGACAATCGATAGATCCATTAACTATTTTGTGTAAAAATTTTAAATCTAAATGAGCTCGACGTTCTGTAAGTTTTATGAGATTGAAGTGCTTTAATTTCTCCTCATATGTTTTGGTAGTTATAAGTGCTCTGTATCGATATGCAAGAGTACGAACAAATCGTTTCCGAATTCTCTCAATTCTATCAACATGTATTTTATAATTGGGACACCACACAGTGCTGCAATATTCCAACTTACTCCTTACATATGTATTGTAGAGATGAATTACAGTGTCTAGTTTCTTAAAATTTTTGGTACATCTTAAGATAAAGCCTAACGCTTTGTTTGCTTCGGTAATAATTTTATATATGTGGTCTGAAAAGCTCAGCTTACTATCCATTAAAACACCAAGATCGCGAACAGGACTAACATTTTTAAGTATATAATTAGATATGGAATAACTAGTTTCCAATTTATGACGTTTTCTAGTAAACTGTGTGTGCTGACATTTAGAGACATTAAGATACATTTTGTTTTTCTTGCACCAATCATAAACACTATCTATATCATCTTGAAGGCATCTTATATCATTGGTATAAGTAATTAATTTCAGAAGTTTGATTTTTATGTTTTTTAAATTTTTCGATTCGCTTTAATATTAGCTGTTTCGATACGGCTATCAGTACACCCCCTCCTCTTCCTGCATTTGAAATCGAACACATCTCGCGATCCCGCCTATACACAGCATAGCCATTTACAAAAATTTCGGAATCGAAGCATCAACTACTAAGCCATGTTTCATAAATATGTAGATATCGTAATCGTTATTAAGTATTTGTTGACGTACCTCTATCAAATTCGTATTTAACCCTCTTACATTTTGATAGTAGATTTTTAAGTGATCTGTTAACATACAAAATTAACTAAAGAGAAAAAAAATATATATTTAACTAAAAATATTAAAAACGAAGGTAATAAATTATTGTGGTTGAGATGATTCCTGGATGCTCTTAATTAATTTATAATCGGATGTTTCAGTCTTACGCATAAAAATTCTTCCTCTCTTTACCCAGACGAATTTGAATCCTAATTCCTTACCCTTGAGACGTGCAGCTGCGTGTATTGCTTTTTGTGTAGGTGAGAGATGTTCAAGAATGTATACCTACTGGTTTTCTTTCTCCACCAAGTCCAAGATGAGATGAGTTTAACTTTTCAGAAACGCTCTTTTATTGAATCTTAACGAACTTACTTACTAACTTGAGGTTTATATCGACGTCAAAGCACTTGTTTCGTCGTTTTCTCTAATAGTTCACATGCGCGGACACTTAATTCGCAAAATCGCATCACTTTTACGAATCAAAATCCACTTCAAACCATTATTCAAGCGACAAAACATGAGCGACAATCCGTCTATGGCCAAGTTCCCGCTAAAACTCATTACGACTCAGTGTACTTACCTTTATATTAAATGCGTAGTATAAAGACTAAAAATGACCACCACAGAGTACTTTCTATATACCTACATACCTGATGACTACTTGACATTTCTATTTTCACGCAGGAAGTACACGCAACATCTTTCAATGGATGTCTCTTTTTGCCTTATTTGAAAATTAAATTAGAAAAAGCGAGAAGAGTATATTGACTCAATGTATACTGAATAATAGGTTCTCTCCATGTATACGTATGTAACGTAGACAGAGAAACTTATAGACAAATTGACGCCTTCTTTCGCATTCGCACACGAAAAAGATAGATTTATGCAAACGTCTTGCATAGAAATGAGACAGAGCAGTGTGATTGTTTGTCCCTTTCTCCGTGCCGGTTTTTTTGTTTAGCAAACTACACTTTGCCAAACAACTTTGACAGTTCGTGGTGATCTAAGGAGTTTACAATTTAGTTTACATGAGAAAAAAAGTGTTTTGTGAGCTTAAGATTGGTGAATCTTGTTCAGTTCAGTTCTTAGAACATTTAAATTTTTATCTAAATATATTTAAAAGTCATAAAGATTATTGTATAACCTAAAACTACTTTATCGTCCTATCTCACTTGAGGCCACGCTAATCATTAGTCTATAGGTTTTTGCCTACGGTATGTAATTACTCTCGACGCCACCAATCGAAACCAATACCAATACACAATGTCAAAAGTATAATTTGTCAAATATGTGTACGGTGAGTGTAGAGTACCGGAGACCCTTTTTACTAAAAACGAGGCATTCCATCAGAGTCCTCAGGGGTGACAACGTATCTGCATTTTGATTCTTAATGGAGGATAAATGTAGATGTTTTTGGGCCACAGCATCCACTTACCATCAGGGGGAACTGTGTGCTAGTTTGTCACACTGATTCTATAAAAAAATTAATAGAGGTTTTTAACCATTTTCGCCAGTGTGTTTACTCCTGTCAACCGAAGCTCCATATCGCCTGTATTGTTATTGGTTTCATCCAAAGAAATAGTAATAATAAGACAATAGAAATTAATTAGCGCTCGATTACTTCCAAAACCGATGTCGCTACATCTTACCGTATTATAAACATACGCATAATGCACAATGATATCTAATGTTCATTACATTGCTTGACGAGTTTGTCAACGTAAAACAAAAGCAGCAATGGTAGTAGTAATTGTACAATACGAAAAGTAATAAATGACAGTTTAAAAAGGTAAATATCACAGTAAAGTATTTATCTAGTAGTTAAAACAATGATAGTTAGTAAATAATCAAATTACCGATGAAATGTTATGCCTTTATTAGTTGAATTACTCGTCCTTGATGAGTTTTTACAACTAATTATGCTGAAGTTCACCATTATAACATAAATTCACGTACGTCATTCCCCGCTCAACTAAATCACAAAATGGTGAATTATGTTCGTTAACACATGATAGTGGCGAAAAGGTCACGCGTCTATGCGACTTCTATTGTCTTATTATTACGATTTCTGTGGTGCCATCACATTTCAACGTATCATAACTGTCACTATTTTTTTATTCAAGTTGTTAATAGGTCAGGTGGTGGTCATGACTCCATCCCCCCCCCCTCTCAGGATCCGTCATTGGCTTAGTGGTGGAGTTGCGAAAACCAAACCGTAAAACTAACATCTACAGTATGGAATCATTCTGCCACACGAGAAAACAACGGGTGGCGTAATCGATCATCATACTCCGTACTGTTTGTGTATATCCGAAAAATAACGAGTGTCAAAGTTCTAATGTTTTAATTATCCTCCATAAAATATTTAACAGCCATTAATTAATAAACAGCAATAGTTGAATCACAATTACAATGATAAAAACAAATTGTTTAGTCAACTTGTAACTACTTACAACTACTTAATTAACACATAGAACAAATTCACGAAAATGCGTGTCATTAATGTATTTTTTTCTATTTTTAACAATTAATCATGTATATTACTTCATTGTAATTACAAAATACTACTCAGGGTAATCATATTTTAGATTTCATTTATTTTGCATGAATATACCACGCAACGGTTCAATTATCACAGCTCTTGTAAAAATTGCGGTGTCAAAAGACGAAATTAATTATTTACAGTATTAAACCCTAGAAGCCTTATCTACGCCTAGGAAGCGTACACGCATTCGGAAATCTATTTCTAACTATGCGATTGTTAGTTTATGTGTTTTAATAGTTATATTGGCGTTGTTTCAGATAAAATAGGTCACGATCAAAACGGCTAAACAACGCCGATGTTTTGGCGATTTTAGACGTAGAAGATTATGGTTCTATGGGAGGATCAGCATAAGAAGAGGAGGATCATCAAGCTGTAGATGATGTTCAAAGTGAAGACGAGAACGATTATGAGGAAGTCTTCTGTTTACAATCCACCACTGAAGAAACTGTCTCAACACTGCTGCAGCAGCTCACCTATCTATTCCTGCTCATTCTACAGGCTTTGACAGCTCAGGACGTATCGTGTCTCCGGAAATATGCTTCGTGTTAATAAAGGACATGTTTGGTCGACTACTAAGGGTAAATCATTTCTGAGAACTTCAGCTACGAATATAGTCCGCACCGCAAGACGACAACATGATCAAGAACAATATAAAAACCCTTAACAAAAGAGAATTCAGAAAGCATCTCAGCACAGATTTGGTCATCAGCCTTGAATGGAGATGATGGAGATGACTTGAAGCGCCGACTTTGAAAAGATCTTTACGAGAAAATATAAGCTATATTCTCGAGTTCAGAAGGGAGAACCTGAGCTCAAAAAACGTTAATACTGCGCTTTATGCTCTTATAAAAAAAAGAGAATGTCTAAATTAGTGTGCTATAAGTGCAAAGTCAGTATGTTGCGAGCACAAATTTGATGTGTGTGTAAACTGATCTAAGATTTAAGCTAGTCTTTGAAAGTTTGACTTAAGTTAATAATTCTGCTTAGAAAATTTCATTAATAATACATCATTAATGATAGTTAAAAAAATAATATTACCGTTGATTAATGAGAAGTTACTTTTTTGTTCGAATATAAGCTGATTGTTTTATTTTGTTGTAATAAGTGGCTGTGATTGGAGACTTCATTCATAAATCTGTGTTTTATTACTAGAATAAATGCCTATCTTAAGTCCTTGAAAAAAATCACAAGTAATTATATTTTAGCCCACAAATAGTTATTTATATACGCCTGCCTCTGAGGCGTATGTTAAGGCTTTACGTATCTCTAACACAGATTAGGCTTCTAGGGTTAAGCAGTTTTCCATTGGGATGCCCCAGATGTCCGAGATCCTAAATTCAAACATAATTCAAATGTTATTATGTCAAATCCTAAAATACTAATTAACACTAGAATTATACATATTAAAAAATTTATCTACGATGGCGGCGCTTTTTCTTGTTGGTGCGGGCTTGAGTGCCATTTTGAGAATGCCCAGTCGATGTGGATGGTTCACTTGCTGATTGGGGTACAGTAACTGGTGGAGGATTCGGGGTTAGCTGTAGGTGAATCGAATTTGTTTGAGTGTTACTATTTTGGCTCTGTGATAGGCCATTCGTTTGCGAAGAAGGTGCTGGGACGCTTGCCTCGGGCGGCTGCGTCGCGTTTAAGGCTGCCCTGAGCCTTTGACGCATACGTCTACGTGCGTTGCGAGATAGTGGTTGACTCTCATTGGTGGTTGAATTATTCAGAGATTGCGCTTGAGATTCGCCTGCGTTAGCAGTAATTTCACTTTGATCATTGGACGATGTGTGGTTGATATCAGGAGTATTTTCCATTCGAGCACGAATTTCATCTTCAGAATGCAATGCGTTTGCTTCTAGAGTAGCAAAAGCACGTGAAAGTCTTTCTACATTATACTGCAAGTCTTGCAGTACATTTTCTCGAGTTGTTCCGCGGTTGGCGACTCTCATTACAGCACGGGGTTGGGTCTGTAGTGTCAATTGATCCACGGGCGTACGACGTAAGGATAATTTTCCACTAATCGAAACAGGTGTAGTAAAACCTCTAGAATCCGCTCCTTGAACAATTAAGCAATGACCTCTTTTTTTGAGAGAACCTTCACAGGACCTTACAGACCATACCTAATAAACAATTGTAATTATTATTATTATTATTCACTTGTGCAGTACATTATAAAACATAATAATTAAATATATACGTACACAGTCTGAGAATATAGCTTCACGATCATTACCAGAAAGTGTGACTGTATAACAAAATTCATTAGCCACCCATGGTGAAGCAGCCATGGTCAACCAAGCACATATACAATCATCTGAAAAGTAAGTTTTATTAAATAACTTATGGATATTTTATTATTTAAAATCATTAGTTTATTCAAAATGTATAATTCTTTACTTACAACCTATTTCAATAACTAGAAAGAAGATGCCCATGTCAGATACACGAACAGCAGTTACAATTCTGCCAGGTACAGTAGAAAGCTGCCAAGCTTGCAAATACTCTCCATTTTCGGACTGACCCTAAAAGTTAATAGGTATGATTGAATAACAAAATAGCTTTTAGCAAAAGGTCAAGCATGTATTTTGAAAGACTTTTATTACATACCTCAATAAGATCGTGCGAATGATAGTAACGGAGGTGGTTCAGTAAGCGGGCAGATGGTAGTCGTTCAGCATTACCATTTTTACAACACAGACAGCGAAAGAGCCCCTTACATGCTTGCGGTGCTCTCAGTGTGATTTGCTAAAAGAAACACAAAAAAGTGATCTAAGTATTTCTAAGATATAAACACTGTTGTGTTTTACTCATATCCTCAACAGTCACAAGTGCCTGCCAGCAATGAAAAACACATATATGGAGATGAGACTCTGATAGTAGACCAAATTTGTCAAAATTGGCAGGCACAGCAGGCTAATTTGTGATTCCATCATAAGACTTGTATTTTTGATGCTGGTTCCAATTGTTGATGTGGATATTTTAAATCTTGCATGTGTATAAATGCAATGGTTATGCTACCATCAGAGTTTACAAGATCATCATCATTACAGCCCTTCACAAGTCCATTGCTGAACATAGGCCTCCCCCAAGTAATGCCACAAAGCACGGTCCTGAGCCACCTGCATCCATCGACTTCCTGCATATCTTACCAGGTCGTCACTCCATCTAGTGGGGGGTCGCCATACACTACGCCTACTGGTATAAGGCTGCCACTCGAGAACCTTTCTTCCCATCGGTTATCGGTTCTTCGAGCTATATGGCCGGCCCAATGCCACTTCAGCTTACTAATCCGTTGGGCTATGTCGGTCACTATGGTTTTGCTCCGGATATCCTCAGAGTCTATACAAGAGAAATCCGAACATCCATAGCTCGCAGAGCGACCTTGAGCGTCCTCATACGGCCAGCAATGAAGGACCAAAGAAGATATAATATATATACAAGATCCTCCTGGCATTTCTAATAGTAAAGCCTCGGATGGGATAAGGGATTCCTCTCACAAATATCATACTTCTGTATTGATTGCGTTATAACAAATACAAATTTTGTATTAATTAGAATGAATATATCATTCTAATAACCATGTTACCAGTCCAAAAAGTTTCATAAAAGTAAACTTCATAATAAAAAGTAAGTAAGTATATGAGTAACTTCTTAATAACAAGTAAGTAAACAACAACTAAACGACATTAGCCTAATGGCAGGGTGCAGACTGCTTGCGGAACACCAGTTTGGTTTCCGCAAGAGGCGCTCTACGGTGGACGCCAGAGGGGGGTTGTCTTGGCGGTGTCTCTCGACATCGCCAACGCCTTCAACTCCATGCCCTGGAGCTGCATTAGGGAGGCACTCCGGTATCACCGGGTGCCGACCTATCTCCGTCGTATAGTCGGGGACTACCTGACGGACAGGGCCGTCATCTACCCCGGTCGCAACGGTGAGTGGAACCGGCGAGAGATGTCGTGCGGTGTCCCACAGGGTTCGGTTCTGGGGCCACCTCTGTGGAACATCGGTTACGACTGGGTGCTGCGCGCCGACCTCCCTACCGGCGTCAGCGTAGTTTGCTACGCTGACGACACGCTGGTACTGGCACAAGGGGGGTCGTACGAGGCGGCGGCGGAAAATATGACACGCGGGGTTGCGATAGTCGTTGAGAGGATTCGGCAACTGGGTCTCGAGGTGGCTCTGCACAAGTCCGAGGCCATGCACTTCCATGGTCCTCGGAACAGGCCACCACCGGGATCCTCAGTCATGGTAGGAGGGGTATCCATCGACGTCGAGTCGACGCTGAAGTACCTAGGACTCGTCCTCGACGGCCGATGGAACTTCGTTGAGCACTTCCGACGTTTGGCTCCCAAACTGGAACGGACCGGGGCTGCCTTCAGGCGGCTCCTGCCGAACCTGGGAGGGCCAAACGCCTCCTGCCGGAGGCTCTACGCGGGTATCGTGCGGTCCATGGCCCTTTACGGGGCCCCGGTGTGGGCGCGTGGTTTGGCGCGGCTTGCCGTCCACCACCTGAACGCGCCCCAAAGGGTGATAGCCGTGAAAATGGTTCGCGGCTACCGCACGATCTCCCGCGAGGCGGCGAGCCTCCTTGCCGGATTGCCGCCATGGGATCTGAAGGCGATAGTCCTCGCGCGCCTGCACGAATGGCGTGCAGAGGCACTATGCCGTGGGGAAACCCCGCTGCCGCGGCAAGTTGTCGCGCAGCGGACAGACTTCCGGCACGATCTCATGGCGACATGGAGACAGCGACTGTCGCAACCCCGTGCTGGGCACGCCACTATAGCGGCGATAAGACCCCTCTTTGAGGAGTGGCTTGAGAGACGCCACGGCATCCTCACCTTCCGCCTGACGCAGGTCCTCACCGGACACGGTGTGTTTGGGAGGTTCCTGCACCGAATCGGGCGGGAGGAAACGCCCGGGTGCTCCCACTGCGAGGATGGACCGGAGGACACGGTGGAACACACCGTGGAGGTGTGCCCTGCTTGGGCGGAGCACCGCCGGGTCCTCGTAGCGGCGATAGGCGGCGGCGACCTCTCGCGTCCGGCCCTGGTCGAAGCCATGGTCCGGAGCGAGACGGAATGGGATGCCGTCACCACCTTCTGCGAAGCAGTGATGCTGGCGAAGGAGGTGGCGGAGCGGGAGAAGGAGAGAGCAGCAGCTTTCCTCCCCGGCCGCCGCGGGAGACGCCCCGGGCGTCGGGGGCTACGTCGTGGCCCCCGGCCACCGTAGGCGCGGGCCTGTGGACGGCGAGCAATGGGTAGCTCGTCGTCCGTCCGTCTAATGACGACAGGCCGTGTCGACGGCGCGTTTTGTTCCACGCGCGCCTCAAAGAGCTGTCAGCAGCGTGAAGGGGCCCGCAAGGGCCGACGCCTGCCGGGGCTGCGGGCTGTTCGAAAGAGATACCGCGGCTCCGGAACGTAAGGGCATTGAAGGAACACGGATGGTTTTTAGTCAGTAAAAGTCTGACACTCCCTTACGCTCCACCCAGAGCGAAAGGGGTCATAAGATGATTTTCCATCCGCAAATAAAAAAAAAAAAAAAAAAGGGTGCAGACTGCGAATTCAAAAGGTCATCGATTTGAATTGACCGTTCAACTACTATTGTTAACCACTCCTAATAACACAAGCATTTTAAACTTACCAGGAGTGGTTAAAGGAAATATTAGTAATGTCAATAGCTAATAACTAATAATTTACAAATTGTTCAAAACAAAAGCTTTATATCATTGGAAATGTAGTATAAAAAATTGGTGTATACAGTCATTCATATTTATGTATTTTTTATAAATAACATGTAAAAGTTACAGCCTAAATAGGTCCCACTCACTGTAGGGCACAGGCCTCCACTCATTTCTGAGGGAAATATAGGCCAATGAAGTGTCAGCTGCGCTGCCCCAATGAGTGTTGGCGAACTTCACATGTATTCAAAATATTTTTTTTCTTATTTCTCAGGCATGCAGGTACTTGAGTGTTAGATAGTTAGGTTATTTAATTATTCAGCTTTATGACTGTGTTTTTATCGCCAAGGTCGGAAGTGGTCAAATAACATTTATAGTCTTTGCGCTGTAGCATGGTGCGAATGACAGCTCACGCCTTTGAAGTTTCGTATTTTTTTAGATAAACTGTCATACAGATATAGTTGTACTTCATGGATGGGTACCGCCCACTTACGAGTGATATGGCATGGTAAACTATGCCATGACATAACGAACAACCACAGACTATCAAGAATCGGTTTTGAAATAAATCGAATATATAAGAATCACGTAAATATTTATTAAAATTGTAACTAATCGTTCAACAAATATTGATTTAAAGAAAAAATGCACATAGACGAATATGCAGTGTTTTCAGTGTGTTGTATACAAGGACGATAAATTATTCGTTGGTCAGCTCAGGCAAAAGAATGATTATAAATGTGTCAAAAATACTTGGCGACAAAAACCCGTTTCGTATTTTTATTACATTAGATTTGAAAACCAAATCCTCGATAATTTTTACCTTCCGTCCCGATTTAGCCCATTGGACCTGGCAACATTAATACACATACAGAGATAGGTGCTAGTATGCGTACCTTGAAAAGCTACCGGTGCAGTCAACGCGGTACTGAAAATTACATATGCTGACAGCCATTTTATTTGTTTAAATGTTAATATGAACGTTGCCATTAAAATGAAATATAAGATGATTTTCATTTTCATATTAATACATATCTATAATTATACATTTAAGTGTCTGTTTGTTATTTCCAAATATCAGCCTTTTACTAAATGCATATGAAAATTTATACTGTATTTATAACAAAAAAACAAAGGCAATTTTATAAATAAATTCTCTGTCTGTCTGTTTGTTCCAGCTTATAGTTGACACTAGCAGATAGCTGATGTTATAATGAGTAACACAGGCTTCTTTTATTTTAGAAAATGAATTGGGATTCCGCGCAAAAAAAAAATCGAAACCTATAAAATTCAATCGTTAAAGGGAAAAAGGGAGAGCGAGGTCGCGTGAACAGGTATTATGTAACTATTATGTCATAATTTGTATTAAACTTTAACTTAATTTTAAATGCATTGTAGTTTATAAAGAAATATGCTTCGGTTTTAATTTTTATATCGATAGCTAATCGATAATTTTAGCTTTGCTTTGTGTATCGTTAATCGCCTTTTTAAAATCGATTTAACATTGTTCCATCTCTAGACACGCCTAACTATAAGCTGTCACCTTCATCATGCTATAAAGCAGACTATAATTATCCGCGCAGTGACTGGCGGTTGGCCGAAAGTTTGCGGCGCAGGTCTGGCAATGAGTAGATATTAAACTTACGTTTGGGACATTAAAATTATTTTCCTCATCTTCTCCAGTTTCATTTTCAGCATCTCCTGAGCCAGCATCGCGAGCTGGTGTACTGCTCTCTGAAGAGCCTGATCCTGTGTTTAATTTACCACCAAATTTCTGAAATTAAATATAAATATATTTAGATTCTATTTATAGTAGTTTGGTTTAAACCTAAAATTTTGTGTAAATAATAAGACATTTTCATAAAACTTTAATTGAACGAATTCTCTTAATGAATTCTCTATATCATGGGCCAACAAAATAATTGTTTGACAAAATGCCACACTATAAATAATATTTATGAACATGTACATACCAAGCGCCATATGCTCAGGTATTAACATTATCAACAAAAACTTACACTATAGGTAGTACAGCCAACTAGCAGCGACACGAAAGGTCATTTACGTTAAAACTACTGTGGAGTTGACAATCTATTATCTATCTCTTTCCATCTTGTGTATTTGTCGTAATGTCTCGTTTTCCCGGCAAAAACATGGTCAGGGTCAAGACGGGTTCGCCAATATTCGGGAAGTCATTTTAGTAATTGTTGTTTATTTAATTATTATTATTTTGTTTTTTATTAAGAGTGGTTAATGATGGAGCCACAACCAAGTATGTCGAGAGATAAACTTCTCCGAACAAGAAACGTCCAAACGTATGTATAGGAATAGGATATATATGAATATTGTTTAGTAGTTTTAGTTAAAACTTCTTGGTTCGGAGTGAACTTTAAAGTAACAACTAGTAAAACTAAGTAAAACTTTTCTTAATTTATTCAAGATGCATGTAAGTAAAGTATGTATATCATTTTAATTTAATTTTTTATTTTAGGTGACTAATTTTAGCGTGAATGAAAAAATATGGTTATTAATACCTACAAATATGTTAAAAAACTTGGTCTTATGATAAATACTCATACAGAAAAGAGATAGTGCAGAAAGCATTTATTTAATTTCAATCTACACTATACAATAATTTAAATTATAACAAAATTAAAAAAGTCTATTTTTTTGGTTTGCTAGACATTTTTTAAAACTATAGTGTCTACTTAAATATATAATCTAACTATCAAAAAATTACGCACCCCTGCTATTCCTAATAACCTTCCATTGGTTTTATTTACATTTGGTATCGCTTCTCATTGGCCGTAGTATACATTATATTATTATAGATCCAAACAATTTTTAGTGAATAAAAGAGTTTAAAAAAAAAGATTAGTAAAATTGTGAATTAAAAGTAACCATTTATTAGTTTTTAATATAAAACTACCATTTTACATTAAAAAAACAATAATTTATTTAGCGAAAATGTATACACATCTGTTATTGTTGATACAGTTTGACATTTCAGGTACTGCAAGTATATTAATGATTCTGCTGAAGAAATCCTGAGGGATAAAAATCTATGAATTCTTTAAAGACATTTTATGACCTTGTCAGAGTTAAATTTTTCTCTGTTAAATGTTATTCAAATTCCAAAAATACAAATAAAAACGTTAGTTATAGCGCGAATGGTTGAAAATGGATACTTTGCAACAAAGTTCCAGTAATTTTGAGACAACACAAGCTGAATGTCGACGAGTATGATTGTGGAGACATAGTGGACTATGGACTAGAGCAACTGACAACCAACAAACAATCTTTTCAATGTGGTTGCAGCATGAATAGTTTGGCTTGACTGGGGAAAAACCACTCTCTCACACAATACCAGCGTTAAATAGTAGCTTAATGCTGCTATATTTCGTATGGTGAGTGTAGGGAACTGAAGACCTTTTTAATGATAATAAAACCTTTTTACTGGTAATGATGCGTTCCATCTTAGTCTTCTGGGGTGATAATGCTTCTAAATTTCGATTCCTAAGTGAGAATAGATTTAGGTGTTCATGGGTCACAGAATCCACTTACCATCAGGTGGACTGTATTTTCGTGTGTCACCCTGATTCTATAAACAATTTCCTTTACTAAAATTAGAATAATGCAGAGGCACTTAAAGAAGAAGAAGAAAATTAGAAGTGGATTAATAGTTACAATGTATTGTAAATAATTTAAAATAACCACATGTACTTAGTTTATTACATTACTACGATTACTATATAACTAATATAACAAGATGAATAAGTTAATGTCTTTGTGCAATAATAATAATAATAATAATGGCGTAGGGAATTGATGACCCCATCGCCCGCTGACGTAATAGTTAAGTGACAAAACTGCTACGTCAACGCAGTCAGTCAGTGCCTTGCGAGAGGTGTGAGCGCCGTGCCTCGGCAGAATTGAGGGTGCAAAGGCCCGTTTGTGCTTATGGCCGTCCACGATATGGTGCCGGGCCTGGGCGTCTCCCGTTAATGGACGCCCAAATTGTGGATGATGGAAAAAAAGATAGTGCGCAAAGGGCCGCTGCCTGGAGGTCGCCAGGGCGCGTCTGGAGCTGGCGCTGGACGCGACAGCATGCGGGCCGCCAGCCGAGCGCGGGGTGTTGCAAGACCACCTAGCAGCCCCCCGCATCCATCATCCCCACCAGAAGGCTTGGTGTCGGCTGGGTCTTCTCGGACTCAGCAAGCGGCACCCGCCGCTGGTGGAGCACGTCGCATGCGTTGGTCAAAATTAATGAATGCAAACGCACTGCGGGCGTATTTTAGGGCAAAAGGGGAAGGAAACTGGATGTTTGGCGTATCGGGCTCGGATGCGTCGCTTTTTTGCAGAGCTGGAGCCATGTCTATCCGTCACTGAGCAAAACCTGGCAGACCGAGTTCGGTACATCCTGCGCTTCAACACATTTGGTGACGCCGAACTCGAACGACCACGACGTGAGGCTATTCCTTCATCGAATGGAAATGCTACGGCTGGGACTGCGGCGCCACTAGATGCCCAACAAACTGCATATGTGGATGCTGCCGTCAACATTCCATTTGTGGCTAATTCAGACGATGATGGAATAGTCTCCCACGAACTAGAGAAAATGAGGAGCATATTGGAAGAGTCGATGCTGGAAACGCGCAGCGTGCCTCTCGAAAATCGACAGCGACTTCCCCGCATACCCCTTAGCAAGCGAAATCGGGCTGTCGTGCGGGCTCTTAACCCAATGCTGGTGACCTATTTGGAAGCCAGCCGGGACCTTTGCGAGACGGACTCAATTCTTTTTGGCGCCGCACTGGCAGTATGCCGTATTATTGGCGCCAAACTTCCCGTGGCTGGACGTGCTACTCAAAAAAGTAGCGCCATCCCAGCCTGGAGAAAAAGAATTGAGGACCGTATCGCAACGGCAAGGGCCCTTATCGGCAGACTGACAAGCTTCAGGTCGGGTAATAATAGACCGAGAGTTGTGCGCACCGTTAGAATGGCGTTTGCTGTGACAAATTTTAGTTTGTCCCAGCCGGATATCACGCAAAAACTAACGGAGTGCATAGATGACCTGAAGCAAAAAATCGCTGCTTGGGGGAAGCGGATTCGACGATTTAGCGAGAGGTCAAGGCGGTTCAACCAGAATCGTCTCTTCCAGAGTGATCAGAAGAAGGCTCTATAAATCATTGGAGCGACCAGTGGTATGTGGAGCGGGCCCAGGACCGAATCAGGCTGATACTGTCGCATTTTGGCGTGGCCTGTGGTCAGAGCCCGTAAACCACAGCGAGGGCCCTTGGATGGAAGTTGGGGTGAGCCAGAGTGCAAGTGTTACGCCTATGGACCCCGTCACCATAACGCCTGAAGACGTGGCTAAGGCGGTCCGTAGGGCCCCGAACTGGAAAAGTCCGGGGCTCGACGGGCTGCATCATTACTGGCTGAAGGTGTTCGTAGTGTGTCACGCTGTGCTCGCCCGACAGTTTCAAGAGGCTCAATCGATCAGAAGTCGCTCCCGAGCCTCTTCACTACTGGGATCACTCATTTGGTTCCTAAAGATCAGGATACCACAGACCCGAGCAAATACCGCCCCATCACGTGTCTACCCACCATATATAAGACACTGACATCCATTTTGAGCGCGAGAATCACTCGTCACCTGGAGCTAAATCAGGTGATGTCACGCGCTCAAAATGGATGTCGGAGCGGTGGTCGTGAAACCAAGGAACCACTTCTCATTGAGGCGGTCATTGGCAAAGTGGTGAAACGCAACCGTCGGAATTTCTCCGCCGCCTGGATAGACAGAAAGGCATTCGACTCGGTGCCCCATACATGGCCAAAGAGAGTCCTCCAGCTGTACAAAATTGACTGTACAGTTGGGAGACTTCCTCGAGCAGTGTATGGGGCAATGGAGTACGATCCTTTGCTATCTGGGCGAGCGGATGATGGCTGCGGAGAACCACATAAGGATAAGAAGGGGTATCTTCCAGGGCGATTGTCTGAGTCCAATCTGGTTTTGCCTCTCTCTGAACCCTCTCAGTACTTTACTAGAGGGCTCCGGGAGGGGATTTCAGCTTCGGAAAGGAGGTACAAAAGTGACCCACCTTTTCTATATGGATGACCTCAAGTTATTCGCCTCCAGTCGCTCCCATCTTGTGGAATTGCTAAACATCACTTGTGAATTTAGCAATTCTATTGGAATGGAGCTGGGAACGGATAAGTGTGCGGTCCTCCATGTTGAAAGGGGAAGGGTTACTAACTCTGAGGGCATAGACTTATCTATGCCCGTCAACTTAAGGACCCTTTCCGAGGCTGAAACATACCGATACCTGGGTATGTCACAGAACATCGGTATCGATGAGGCTGGTATGAAACAGTCAGTTTGCGACGTGTTTTATGCACGCTTGAACAAAGTGCTTAACAGCCTTTTGTCCGGTGTGAATAAGACACACGCATATAACGGTTGGGTCATGCCTGTCCTCATGTATACCTTTGGCATACTCAGGTGGACCCAGACTGAACTTAACGCCCTGGATAGAAAAGTCCGCACTACCATGACGTCCCATAGGATGCATCATCCGAGATCGTCGGTAATGAGGCTGTACTTGCCGCGAAAGCATGGTGGGCGTGGTTTTCTGAGCGCGCTCACCATGCATAATCGCGAAGTGTGCAGCCTCCGTAATTACTTCCTGGCGAGATCGGATGATCCATTCTATAATGACGTCATTTCTAGTGAAAGGGCTTACCCCTCTATCCTTAGCCAACGAGCAATAGCAGGACCCAGCAGTGCTTAGCATTTCCGACCGGGAGACCGTATGGAAGGAGAAGGAGCTCCACGGGAGGTACTACAGGGCTCTACATGAGCCCTTCGTAGATACAGTCGCCTCCCTCAACTGGCTACGTTTCGGTGACCTCTTCGGGGAAACCGAGGGTTTTGTCTGTGCAATACAAGATCAGGTTATTAAGACCAACAACTATCGGACTATACATCCTAAAGGATGGCACTGTCGACATCTGTCGAGCTTGTCGCCATCCCGGGGAGTCACTTAGGCATGTCATCTCCGGTTGTTCGGCGCTTTCTAACTCTGAGTACTTGTACAGGCACAACCTAGTAGCCAGAATTCTACACCAGGAGCTCGCTCTGAAATACGGTCTCGTGGACCGAAAATTGCCGTATTACAAGTACTTGCCGGAAGCCGTGCTCGAAAATGACCGCGCCAGGCTCTACTGGGACCGGACCATCATCACAGACAGGACTATTCTTGCGAATAAGCCTGATATTGTGCCGATGGACCGGGCACAGTCAAGGATATTTTTGGTCGACGTTACCATTCCGTATGACGAGAACCTCGTGAAAGCTGAAACAGACAAGCAATCAAAATATCTGGACCTGGCTCACGAGGTGACCGACATATGGGGTGGTCTGCCGACCGAAATTATTCCTGTAGTCGTGTCTGCAAACGGGTTAATCCCAGCCAGCCTCTCGGGCCATCTGAGGCGACTGAGACTCCGTGACGGACCGCTCCGGGCTCAAATGCAGAAGGCGGTGCTCCTCGATACCGCCCGCATCGTCCGCCGGTTTCTTTCCCTTTCCTCCTAACCCTCGGCCGTTTGGTCTCCCCTGCCGAGGGCTTCCATCTGGTTGGGCTTTTATTTATTTATGTATTATTTATTTATTTATGTTAGTATATTAAATATATATTTAAGTATATTTATTTTTCCCTTTATATCAAGCCCAACCAGACGTGATTACTCTATTAATAACCCAAATAATAATAATAAATATATTTATCATTTCCTTTTATATATTTATTCAGCCCAACCAAATGAGAATGCACTACTAATACCACATAATAAAAATAATAATCTTAATTAAAAACTTAAGAAGTTAAAAACAAAACAAATGTTGCACTGATTCCTAAACTAGGATAATACCAAGGAACAATATATAATTTCTCTTTTTGAGCCTTGGCAAATTCTCTAGTAAAGAAAACAGTTATATCTATAAGTTAATACTTAATATTAGTTAATGTTAATAGCTTTAATACAATACACCTTTAAGTTGAGGGCAATCTAAATAGAATAAAAGATAGATATTATACTTAAGACCAGCCAGTATTAAGAAATGGCCATTTCATGATAAAGCAAGTACATTAAAAAATCTAATAAAATTTTAAGTGATATTAATACAGTAAATACTAAATAGTAAGAAATGTAAAAGTATACAAAGTATGTACATAAGTAATGCCAGTTACCCAACATATACATTAGGCAATCAGTGCTAAAGAAACAAATATCAGTAATTTGTAAATACTTTTGTCTGTTAACTACTGATATATTTTATAAACTATGTAGAGAATATTATCATTGTGTAACTATAGTTGGAATAAAATTATTCAACACAAATAAACTAGAAAAAGTTCAGCGGCTTTTCTGATGTATTCAGAATAAATCCAAAAAATATTTGTTTTATAAGCTTTACACCTGCATTTAGTAAATAGTCAAAAATTATGTAAATATTGTAACATTATGGCAAATTACATAATATTACAACTGATTTTCAGATAATAAAGAATAGATAATATGATTTTATTCATATCAACAAATTAAATACATGTATGTATTTTGTAGATATTATAGTGTTGTTGTTGCATAAATAAATGAAAATTGTGTAGTAAAAATAAATTACTACATAAATTTTTATTGATTTAAAATTTAACTTACAAATGCTCGTAATTTTCGAAAATTGGCAATGAGTTCCTCCATGGCATAATTGCGGGTGCCGAAAAACAGGGCACGACATACTGGGCAAACATCAAGACGAACTTTGCATCTTCCACACACATGGTGTCCTTCATTACATTGAAAAATCTGTCCTGTTGGTATTTCATAACATACTGGACATTGCAATAAATCATCAAGGTTCAGTAATGATTCAGGCTGAAAAAAAATTAAATTTCAGTTTATGAATTACTACAATATTAATATTTTTTCTTATATTAAAATATTTAAGAAATTTTTGACATAATTGTATGACCCTAGCCTATTTGTAAGGGTGCATACTCGGAAAGTAGTTGGTTCTGATCCACCATTCTACTTCGACTTTAGTTCATTGACTGTAGTCATGAACCAACACAAGCACTTTAAGCTTACTTGGAGTGGTTAACAAGATTGTGACTAATGTTAATAGCAATACTAGTAATCTTTAAAAATAAATCTCAAGTTCATTTATTTAAAAGAACATAAAGATATATTTGTGAGTACATCATCATCAACAGCCTTATAACTACATTGCTGTACAATAAAAGGAGTTGCACATAGCCTCCACACTGTAAGGGCCGATTTACACGAAGTGTGAACAAGTACAGTTGCGAGTTTAGTTACATGGTAGTTGACAGTAAACAGTAAGTAGGCAGGGCAGTAATTTTAAATGTCTTTGTTGCAAGTTTAGTTAAAAAAAGTACCTACAATTTTATATTTTGAGAGCTGAACGCAAATAAATTGCGTCCTGTCAACTTATGCATTGAACTAAACTAGCCCATTCACAGGAGTGGCGGGAGACGTGAGGGGGGGGCAACACTCGAACTTGACTTGCCGAAAAATAGACCGGCCGGTTATGTATCTCATTCAACTTAATTGTTAATTTATTACTAAACTCACTAATTCCCATATAAAAGAGATTTTTTACGTAGCTCACCACTATCACTATTGAGATACAGAAATTATAATTTTTTTCATTACAGACCAAGTTAGTCCACTTTGATTGTGAGCCCCTTTCATAATAAGGAGATTTTGCCTGCTACACTTAGCAGGGTGTAGGCCCTACCAAACATTTTTCTCTCTGACTCTGCCGCCCATCACTAGGTAGAGTATTTTACATCTGACTTAAATAATGATTTCTAGTGCAATAAGATCTTGCTGAGATTTTATATTCTTTCACAATCCAACATCAAGATCGAATTTGTTATCTAATTATCATGTCACCACACAGATCTTTACTATTATTATCATCATGCAGAACAAAGGCCTTTTCTAAAGAAGACATTATATATTATATATTATTTTGGCATTTATTGGGGAAGGCCTATAATATGAAAATTACTTTAATAAATTAGTATTTTTTGAATAGATTATATGAAGAATTAACTTAATAACTATTTTAAGAATGTCATAAAAAATTATTTCTTATATTTACTTGAATACTAAATGTCGAATAAAACTAATTATTTTAAAGTTTAATTTAAAATTCCAGATACTTCATATGCTTTACAATACCCATGGTCTCTACGACCGAGTTGTATGATGTCCCAATGCCATAGTTAGGAGCCTACTCTTTTTTAAAAGGCCAGCAACTCATCTGCAATTCTTGTGGTGTTTCAGTTGATCATGGACGGCGGTAGTCACTTACCATCAGGTGAGCCACATGCTTGTTTGCTCCCTGTCATATAAAAAATACTTTAATTTTGGTTCAATCTAAGCAGAATAAGTTTACACTATCTAGGAGGCTTGTAGTGTTAAGCTTGAGTTTGGAATTTTATTCATTATAGGATCCCAAACAGACTTTAGCACCCAACAATCTTCTCCATTGAATTAGGATTTGAAAGCAAATCATCAAATTAGATGTTATTTAATCAAATGTACTAATAACAGGCTATGAACAATAACAGGCTATGAACAATATACGGTATTAACATCAATGGCGAATACATCACTCACCTTCGATTTGGCGACGATATAGTCCTTATGGCAGAATCGCTGGAGGATTTAAGCACTATGCTCAATGACCTCAATAATGTCTCCCAACAGATAGGTCTTAAGATGAACATGGACAAAACAAAGATCATGTTTAATGTTCACGTCACACTTATGCCGGTAGTTGTTGGGAGCGCTAAGCTCGAAGTTGTTAAAGAGTATGTTTACCTGGGACAAATGGTCCGATGAGGTAAGTCTAACTTTGAGCGTAAGGTCAATTGACGGATTCAACTCTGTTGGGCAGAGTTCGGGAAATTACGACACATCTTTTGGTCACCTATACCTCAAAACGAGACTATACAACCAGTACATGTTGCCAGTGATGACCTGCGGAAATGAGACATGGTCCTTCACTGCTGGCCGTATGAGGAAGCTCAAAATCACTCAGTGAGCTACAGAGATGGCTATGCTCAGGGTTTCTCAAAGTGATAAATTTAGAAATGAGGATATCCGCAGCAGCGACCGACATAACCCAACAGATTAGTAAGCTGAAGTGGCAATGGGCCGCCCATATCGCTTAGGGCATCATAATCGCTTCAGTGACAAAGCCCTTTTTCTGAGAATAAAAAAAATATAGCTCAAAGAACCAACAACCATTGGAGAAAAAAGGTTCTCGAGTGGCAGTCTCTTACTGATAGGCGAAATGTAGGGCAACCCCCACTAGTTGCAGTGACGACCTGGTAAGACATGCAGGAAGTTGATGGATGCAGGTGGCTCAGGACCGTGCTTTGTGGTATACCTTGGAGGAGGTCTATATTTAGCAATGGACTTGTGAAGGGCTGTAATGGTGATGATGATGAACAATATTGAGATTTAATATTTTTTTCTGAAGTGATATATATAATAGATTTGTTCTAAAAGATAATCATTTTTGACTGGACAAGCAACTTTACACCATCATGAGTCTGAACAATTTCAAGTTTCAGCCTAAGTAGAATTTAAAAGCAAGAAATTCCTATGTAGGAATTGCATGAATGTCCAAAGGAATGAGTGTATTACAGAAGGAGACATTGCAGTAGTTGTGTGTAAAGTTGTGGGCATATAGCAGTAGATCTAATATTTATTTCCACTTGAAAACAGCATACATTGAATTACGTGAAAATCACTTATAAGCAATTCAATGCTATGCGGACGACAGCACTGGTAATGCTTTATACACCGGCTGTGCCAATATTTCTTGGGAAAACGTCACCAAGTACTCGAACAAACATGTGTGTGAAGTTGAGACATTGTTGTTTAAAGTCTCAGATTGGAGGTGACTAAATCTAGTCGAGTTCAATCCCCAGAAGACAGGTTTGCACGTTTACCGCTAAAAAGAACCTCTTTGTCATATTTCCGCAGTTTCACGGCACTCCCCTTGTTGCCTCAGCCAGTATTGGAATCCTCGGCGTCGACATATCGAATGACGCGCAGTTTCTTGGTCACTTCAAAGAGAAGGCCACACTGGGTCTCTAAAATGCTTGGCTTGCCCAGCAGAGCTGGACAGTATTTCACGCCGGCATATTCTGTCTGCAACTTTACAAGGCGTAGGTTCAGCCTCACATGGAATATGTTCCCATCTCTAGGCCGGGAGTCCTCAGTGCCAGTTCCTTCCATTTGATCGCATTCAGCGGAGAACAGTTCGAATTGTCGGCAATTGAGCACTTTCAGATCGACTTGACTCAATGGGAAGAGATGTTGCATCTCTTTGTATATTCCATTGTATTTACCATGGGGAGTGCTCAAAGGAATTGTTTGGACTGTTTCCAGTCGCTCAATTTCACCATCGCACATCGTGACAGTACTTGAGATACCATCTGTACCACTTGGATGATTGGTGGTCCATTATTGTGCTATTTACAAGAAGTTTTCTTCAACTACCACCAGCAATTTTTCCAGGCGGATACAACTTAGGGACCTTCAAGAAAAGAGCCTACTCTTTTTTAAAGAGCCAGCAATACATCTGCAATTCACCTGGTGTTGCAGATGTTTGTAGGCAGCGGTAGTCACATACCATCAGGTGAGCCACATGCTTGTTTGCCCCCTCATATAAAGAAGCAATCTGAATAAGAAAAAAATCACTATAACACCTATCATCATCACTCTCAAAATAATATACTTTCAAAAATATATCAATATTATACAATGTACAATGTAGAATAAAAATTACTCAGTTTAATCTTGTTTTAGGACATTTCTACTTTACAACATGGGATCAAGTGGACAAAATGGGAAGTCTGTTGTGGATTAAAATGTAAATTAAGCTTCAAATACTTAGAAAATATGACAGCAACTGATGGTATATTTGTGTTGGTATAATATGCAAATGAATTCTATTGACATGTAAGATTTCTAGCCCCAAACAGAAACAGAAGCTTTTATTCAAAATAGATTATAAATAATACTACTTGAAAGTCACTTTTTTTCTGGCTCTGGTTCAGAAAAACTTTGGTAAACTCTTGGGAAGAACCAGCAAGAAAACCAGGACTTTTTTTAAATAAAATAACAGCTGTTATTAATTGTAACACACATGATTGTATAATGTGTGTTACAATAACACAAAATAAATTAGAAATAGCTTGGTAGAGATCAACATTCCCAGGGGTTATTATCATCCACAAATCCCTTAATATTATAATAACCCTTAAACTTAGTAAGTTAAAGTTTTTGAACTTTGTGCAGGTCAAAGTTTGTATATTTTCTGGGATTTTCTTGTAAAAGTATATACATCACCCTAAGATGAATTAGAGGACTTAGTGGAGTCAAGTAACTAGTACAAACGGAGTGGTGATTTTCTCTTTGTCTAACATTTCCATGTCCGTAAATAAGTCATAGGAGGTAACACAAGAATAGTCTTTTGCATATAAATAAAAAAATTGTTTTCCTAGGGCAGTCAGGCAACAAGAACATACAAAAATAAAAATTCCCTGTAGTATATTCCTTCAATTTTATGAAAGTAATTAAATTTTGTATTTAGATAACACTTCTGAATCAATGAATATAAAACGTCTACCACCTACCCTCGATGATCGAAATAAAATAGAGCATGGATTTACTTTAAAAATAATGATTACTGTACTTGAAATATATTTATAATTAAATAGTATTATATGAATAGAAATAATTACTTAGAAATAATAACACGTTGAATATGCGTGATAAAATATCGACCAATCGACAAGGTCGAACAATGGATTTTTTAAGTTACTTTCTCAGTTTCTTACCTGCACCTCCACCTTTTCTCCCATTGTAGATGGTCTTTTAAAACGAAAGACCAAAATTAATAGGAATATATTTTAGCCTGTGCGCACTTTAGAAAGCGTATTTTATTGTTTGTGAAACACAGCTGGAGTTCCGAAAATGGATGACGCCCGACCGACAGAGTAAAGTGTTGCCCGCATAGATTACTGACTACAACGCGGTAGTACCAGGTAGTACTATGGAGTGTAGAGGTAAGAAGTACAGATTCTATATAAAAAAAGTGTCCGTAGGAAAGCGCTAAAAAAGGGTGGCGCCACTGTAGCTACAGTCTAAATTTTAAAGAATTTTTATAATTTTTTTATTGCACAGACTTTCACCATAATTCTTTTTACAATAATTATTTTATTGCTTTCAAAATTTTTATTTTCAAAATCACTCAATGTATTTTACGGCGATTTATCATACTCTGTAGCTACTCGAGCGCTATTGTGGAGAGTTTTTGAACTGACAAAAATCACTCAATGTATTTTACGGCGATTTATCATACCCTGTAGCTACTCGAGCGCTGTTGTGGAGAGTTTTTGAACTGATATTAACTGCTTACGAATGGACACATTTTCAACTAATCTCCTATGGTAGATTGTCCTCCTTACCTCTATACTCCATGGGTAAATACCTTTTGGTTTACCATCCGTACAATCATGAAGGTTAGAGAGAAAGAGACGATCGCTGTAGAAAATAGTGTCCGAGAAATATGAACAAAATAAGTGATGCGTTGCGATCGCTAAGTTGTCTCAATCAAAATCATTTTTAGTCTATTTTTCCGATCAGATGCTAAATCACTTGCACATCCCCGCACAATACAATATTTCACCATTGTTTAATGTTTCTTTTTGTCAAAAATTTATAAATTACGGATCACGATTATTTTCTCACCAATGCCGCGATGAAAATGTGTACTCAACTAACTTCATCTACTTGTGCTCATAAACAGCTAATTTCGCAGATACTACTTACCAACGAATTACTGATGAATTTTCAGGGACAAGCAGGGCTACGCTTTAGTACAAAAGCGATCGTTCTCCTTCTCTTTAACCTCCATGCGTACAATATTGGTAGATGTAGGGATTATATACTCTTTGATTGTAATTAAACGCTGTGTACGCTTAGACCACAAACTGATAAGAGTGCTTAGACCATTCAACCCAATGGACTCGCCTCGCATGATTATTCCCCTTTGTGCAGGTATTGATTTAAAAATCTTGTGCGTTTTTAAAAACTGTTTACGGAATCGATTTTGTCATTACAAGAATCCCTTCCCTCGTTATTAATATGTATCTTTGAAAAATGTCTATCAGTGCGCTTATCGTGTGCTAAAAGAAATCTAATACTTCAAATTCACAAAATTGGTGGAGTTACATTTCCCTCCCTCTATCTCAATGAAGTCGGCGAGCTGCTGACCTCATGGGTTTCGTTGCCCAATCCCGAATTTCCTTAGCTTTTGCTCACAGTTCTCTCACGTGCGTGAAGCGATGCGTTGAAGTCCGTCATTAAAACTCTTAGTGGTTTTTGGAGAAATGCATGGCTCTGGAGATATCCTCGTACATTTTCTACACTCCCAATCGGGATATGCCGAGGTTAGTGCGTAAACCTGTATGACCATTAACGAGTACCACTTGGTGATTCTGAGTATAAGGTACGCAACCCTTGTCGACACACTCCCAATCTTTACAATTTTCTTTACGAGATATTTATGGACGATAAATCCGATACCCACTTCGAACAGACGGTTGCGCTTCCAGTAATAGAACAAGTTGCCATATTTAAAGATGACCGTGACCTTCCCCTTTCTTCGGATTTCGGATATTCTTATTATAATATACCAGCGCAACTTGTCTATCTCTTCTTTTATCTCCAGGATATCTTCTTCTTTTATCTTCTCGTCGCCTCTTACTATATTCCCACTAAGATATGGAATAAGATATGGCTAATAGGGTAGTTAAAAAGTGAAACTAGTTCACTAAAAACGTAATGTAGTCATTGTAGATTTTATTTATAATTATTCGGTGCATGTTTTGATTTTATAATAAAATCTGTTCTAAGTTAGTATTACGTCTATGATGTATGTATATATTGTTATAATTAACGTAGTCATGAAATGTTTTTGTTTCATAAAAACTGGAAACGTTTGGTAGAATCATCTTGTCTGAAGCTATCGCGGCATTACAAAAATCAATTACTAAAAATAACCTGTTTTTAAAAGCAGTGACATCTTCTTCGTCATTAGTTTATATCTCCAAATTCCCCGAAATACCCTCGGTATTTCATATAAATTTAGAATTTGATTAATATAATATACATTACGTAAAAATATTATAACGTACCAAACTAACGATCAATCGAACATTTTCATTATATTGGGTAGGTTGGTGTTTTGGCATTTTTTTTAAATCAAAAGGTTGTGGGCTTAAATCTACCATTCGATAATCTTTAAGGTTACCAATAATGGTTAAAGGGAATTTTAGTAATATTAATAGCATAGCATTAAAAAAAGTAGTATATTGTATTATTTTGGTCTCCTCTTTGTGCGGTGCTCTAAATATGGTTAATATACATTTTAACTGTATAACATACAGTTAAAAAATTAACAAATTTATTAAATAAACAATATTAACCATACTGAATAAAATTATCATATTTTTTATATATTCGTTTATAACAATTCACGATTTCATAGCTTACCAATTTATATTAAATTGTCCGTGGTTATGCCATCTAGCGCTTATCTAATGCACCACGTTGAAAGTCAATTAATTCTTGTTCGATAAAATGACTTTGTCCATAGAATGAAGTAGCTGGCGCTAATACGACACGGCTTCGCAATTAGTTAAAGCGCTAAGGACCGCGGGTTTGAATGCCGCACGGAACAAGTATTTGTATGGCCTACAAGTAATTGTTTCGGGTCTGGATGTTTTTTCTTGTGAAATTTATGTTTGTAAAATGCCCCACGATATAGGAGAAAATCCTAGTGTGGAGATAACGTTTTAAAAAAATTATACCTTTGTTTAATTATCTTAAAATTCTATTTATAAAATGAAAGTTTTATCTTATATTTTATGCTGCACTTGTGTTAGCATATGATCATACTGAATAAATAATTTGCCGTGAAATATTTTTATTTTATGTTTCATTTAATTTGAATGTTTCACTTATACCGCGTGTGAAAAAAAATATTTCACGGTAATTATTTAACTGCCTGGGACAAGCACGGTGTTTCATGCACGAGGAAAAAAGTACTGGAAAAAAAATAACTTAATATTTATTTCGATGACCTTTTAAGCAGTGTTTTACACATCACTTTGAGTGCTTGAAATTCAGAAGAACAGCATGAATTAAAAAGGTTTGGGATCTATTTGGCCAAGACATGTGCCTGTTTTTCATCTAAAAGTCATATAATAATAAATAGATGCATTGATACGAACAAAAAACATCAAAATTCAGGCAAAGCTGCAGTATTACACGGTAATAATACAAACCTCAGATTTTTTTATTAGCTAAGGGGACTTGAGCTATTATCGTCACCTAGTATTTGCTGAGTTACGCTATCATAAAATTATATAATAACTTCATAATATGATGCATCAGCATATTATTGTGAATGGTTTCATAAACAAAATACAGGTAAGACCTGGTTGTATGGTCTTCTCTTTGTATGTCTTAATTAGCGAATCGTAACAAATTGTCACGTTGTAAGGTTGTCAGTTCACTCTTGTCTATGGAGATTAGAGAACAGGAGAACGATCGCTACATGCTAAAGCATAGCCCGCTAGTCCCTGAACATTTGTATAATTTATAGCCACGCTGCCGTTGGTAAGTAGTATCTGCCAAGTAATTTTTTAATTATTGACAAAAAGAAACATTAAAAATGCTGAAATAATATAAAAAATAATAATAAATAATTTATATTTGTAAATTTATAATATTTATAACAATTAAAATTATGAAAAACATAATTTATAATATATTATTAATATATAATAATAATATGAGAATTCTTTATTGATACCCCCATAATAATATTAATAATGATTTTGTTATTTTCTTTTTTCTTAGTTATTATAATATAAAAGTTAGTTTATTATAATCATTTCAAACTAGCGCACCACAGCCCGCTTTTATTGAGGTAACTTAGCGATCGCAGCGCCTCTCTTATTTTGTCCATATTTCTGGGACACTATTTTCTACAGGGTTGGTTCTCCTGTTCTCTAACCTCCATGCTCTTGTCACAGTCACAGTGTCACTTGTCATTCAGAGTTGTAGGATGTATTTGTAATGCTTTTTTTTTCTCAAGTGCAATTTTTTAAAATTATTGTTTTAATAAAATAAACAGATATGGCATTTTTAAAGGATTTCCTTATACTTGTTATTGTTTTTGCTGTTATTAAACGTATGTTTAACTTGACAGTTATCACTTGTCTTTATTTGAATAGCAGATGCAAATAATATGTATATTTACTATTAACTTTCAGCGTTTGACTGTGAAAGGCTTCATGAACAAATATATTCCTCAATTGAAGGTGGTGCAGCGTGTTTCAAAAGGCTAAATGGAACTCATCAGGCCGGTTGTTCCTGTAGGTTTACATTTTTTGACGTCATTATTTTTTGTTTGTGTATGTGTCGTCGATCGGTATAACTGGTAAATTTTGATCAACCTTGGAGAAGCAGAGATGGACAGTTTATCAATTCAGGTCTAAATCTTACGAGACACAGTCAAAGACTTAAATAATTAATTACTTATATATATTTTCAAATTTGACGAAGTTTGAATACTTCTTAGTAATGGAATTTAATAAACACAAATTTTGCAGCTTCTGATAAGGGCGCAGTAGGTGTGGCGCAGATGATATATGATGTAACTGATGCACAGTGGTTGGTTTACAATGCTACAGTTGGACCATGCATAGCTGTTATCAACACTGCTCTGTTTCATGATGTCATTGAGCTATTAATGGCCCAACCTGCTAATGTAGCAGGTATCATCGTTTATCATAATGCAACAACAAGGTAAACAAAGTCAAAAAACATTTATATAATTACTTTGTATTTATATTTCATAAATTAAACACAGTTACAGCCTATTAAAGTCCACTGTGGAACCATAGGCATCTCCTTTACATTTATCCTATCCTTACATTATTCATAAGGGTGATGTTTGCCATAGAGTGTTACATTACTTTGTTCAATTATCTTTTTTTTAGATATTTGTAAGAACTCTTATTAAATCCATACTTTTCACATGTAAAAAAGAAAGAAAATAGCCTATTATCTTCAAGTACAGATTGTTCAAATCCAAATAAAATTAGCAAGTGGGTTTGTAAACGCAGATTTTAATTATTTTAAGTTGTTATCAGTTAGATGCTGCTGCCTAATTCCTTTTACCTTTTCCCTCTGTCGCCTCTTAAGACACTCTGAAGGATGACATGGGGTAGTGGGTATTCTTACACTGTTACTACATGGTTAACTTAAAGCTTTGATAAAAGGAATAAATATATTTAGTTTACATATAAATAGTATTATTTATGAGTTACGCAAAACTTTCAGTGTACCCCACATAAATAAAAATAGAAACTAGGACTTGATCGGGTTTTTTCGGAGGAAGTGAGAGATACAAGTGTCTTGCCTTTTTTTGCTTAAAATTTATTGTTTTATTAAGTGTTGTTGATTTACCATAGTAAATTTTTCTGTCTTGGTGGAGGTTTTAATATCTGTAAATTAGTAAGTGTTTGTAGTTGTGCCGTTTTTATGTAATTTTTTGTTGTAGTAATATAATGGAGGACGAACCTCCCGATCCCGGAAGGGTTCGCAATGATTCCTTTTCCTTACCCACTAACATTGATAATGTAGAATTAATTAAACGTAAATGTGCCCAAGTAAGTAACGAGTCTGCCCATCCACAAAAAATAGTTATTACTGATCCAAATCAACAGTTTCCTTCAATACAATCCTCATATACCCATCCTGATTTTATTAATAAAAAAGTTAAGTACTCTCAAGATGATGCCGCTCCTTTTCTAGTTCACGTAAGTAAAATCTCAAATGATCAGCTGTCTGGAGTAACTCTTAAACCAATTAAATTCGGCCACTTTCTGTATCATAACAATATTAAAAATATAGTCCATGATGGAGTCAAAAAAGTTGGACGAAATAGAATATCCGTGGAGTTTAAATCAGCTGCAGATGCAAACACCTTTATCGATCACCCAGCTCTCCAAATTTCTAAATATGAAGCAACCATCCCCTCATATAGTATCACTCGTATGGGGCTAGTTAGACAAGTTCCCATAGAGTGGACACTAGAAGAATTAATAGCAGCTATAGAAATTCCCTCTGGATACGGTTCTATAATTAAAGCACGGCGACTTAATAGACGATCAGTGAGTGACAGCAATAGCGTTTCATGGGTTCCAACTCAGACGGTTGTTCTAACTTTTTCTGGACAAAAACTTCCTCCCCATATTTACTGTTTTTACACCTCAATGCCAGTGGAAAAATATGTTTTGCCACTAATTCAGTGTCATAAATGCTGTAGATATGGCCATGTTACTTCCCAGTGCCGATCATCTCCTCGCTGCTTTGTATGTGCACAGAATCATGAAGGTTTATCTTGTACTCGACAAACTCCTACTTGCCTATTCTGCTCTGGTCCCCACACCGCAAAAGACCCTACATGTCCTGAACATCTAAGGCAAAAATCTATTAAACTTGTTATGTCACAAGAAAATATTTCATATTTAGAAGCTTCAGCTAGATTCCCTCAGACAAAAAGATCCTTTGCTGATACAACAAGAATCCAGCCTTGTAATTGTTCTCAACAGACCCCTTATACTATAACTGACAGTCTTTCAACCCCTTCGGCTCAGCTCTCACAAACTGCATCATATAAAAAAACAATTTTTATCCCTCAACGTACCCGCAGCCCACCATTAAATTCTGGATATGATATGGCAGCCCATCAAGCAATTGTTGAGAATCCTAATTCTTCCCTTCCTAATGGGTGTGCTCTACTGGGAAATGACAACAACTCCTCTAGTAATGATAATTTCTGCGAACTTATGATATCAATTCTAATTAACATGATCTCCCGTTTTAGTGACACGGAACTTCCTCTCAGCTTACACCAAAAACTTACTCAGCTTTCCTCCTTAGCCCGTAACATTCGCAGTCCCGCCAATTCTTCAATGGAATTGTCGGAGTATTAGAAATAAAAAAAATGAACTCATTTACCTCATTAACAAATTTCATCCCTTCATTCTTGCCATCCAGGAGACATGGCTTAGGCCTGAATCTCATTTTAGGGTTTCAGGCTATGCATGCCTCCGGGATGATAGGAGTGATGGTCGTGCTGGCACCTCTATTTTAATTTCAAGAACTGTTACATTTTCACAAATTCCTCTCCCTTCTCATAGTCCAGCAGTAAATGCTGTTGCTATTAAGGCCCTTGATGTCTCTATTCTCTCTGTTTACATTCCTAATCCTGATGTAAATGTTTTAACAGAACTTGCAACATTTATCTCTTCTCTGTCACCTCCTATGGTTATTTTGGGAGATTTTAATATGCATCATACTGTTTGGGGCTCCCATCTGTGTGATTCACTGGCTCCCTTATTTTTAGATCTTATTGATAATTTTAATCTCTGTATTCTAAATGATGGGTCTCCTACCCGTCGAGTATCCCCATTACAAAATGTTAGAAGTGCCGTTGACCTAACTCTCTGCTCTCCAGATATTGCTTCCCTTCTTTTGTGGCAAATATTACCTTCTAGCTATGGCAGTGACCATTTTCCTATATTCATCACTCCTCCTACTTCACCTAGAATAAATTTTACATTTTGCCCAAGACTAAAGTATAATCTATCCAAAGCTAATTGGCAATTATATTCTAAAGTCTTGGAACAAGAGGTTTCAACTCTTCCCCCAATTAACAATGATAATATTGCTACTGTATATATAGAGTTCAGAAATGCAATTATTTCTGCTGCTAATAAGTCAATCCCCTTAAAAAAACCTTTCAAAAATAATTATCCCTCCCCTCCTTGGTGGGACCAAGATTGTTCAGCAGCTTGTAGGAGAAGAAAAGAGGCTGAATTAATATACTCCCGTTCTATGACTGCAGAGAATTATATCTCTTATAAAAAAATTGCTGCAGAAACCTTAAAATTACTGTCAGACAAAAAGCGAACTGGTTGGTTTAAATTCTGTGAGTCACTGTCACCTAGGACTCCCCCATCTTTGGTCTGGAGAAATGTTAAAAAATATTGCTGTGCAGTTTCTAGTGAAAATATAATTTCTAATGATCCTTCCCCCGTGGATAGATGAATTCTCTAATAAACTTGCACCACAAACAGTCCCATCTTATGATGAATGCCTAGTTTTTAATTCTGCTTTTTTAAAAACAAATGATAAATTTGATTCCCCCTTTTCTTCTCAGGAATTGTTTACTGTACTCAATGGCCTTAAAGACTCCTCACCAGGTATTGATGGGATTCCTTATTCGTTTATAATTAATAGTAGTGAGAACACTAAAACTGTCTTACTATCCATTTTAAATTTTATTTATATTACTGGTGATCCTCCTGCTGAATGGAAAACCCAAATTATTTTGCCCATTCTCAAACCAGGTAAGTCTAGCAATGACCCTTCCAGTTACCGACCTATTGCCCTATCTTGTACTTTGGCAAAAATCTTGGAACATTTAATAAAAAATCGCTAGGAGTGGTTTTTGGAAAGGAATAATCTCTTACCTAAAAGCCAATTCGGTTTCCGAAAAGGTTTAAGTACCATGGATAGCCTAAGTACCTTGGTCACAGATATTCATATTGCCTTCTCAAAACATGAATTTCTCATAGGAGTTTTCTTGGATATTTCTTCTGCATATGATAATGTACTTCTTCCTGTGCTCAGGCAGAAAATGCTTAATCTGAGCATTCCAGTGAGGATAGTCAATTACGTCTCTAACTTTCTCTCTTCTAGATCAATATCTATAAATGTTAAAAATCTCCTGCTTCCCCCAAAAACTATATGGAAAGGACTTCCACAAGGCTCAGTTCTTAGTCCTCTCCTTTATTCTATATATACTCACGATTTAGAACTTTCAGTAAATTCTTTTTGTAATGTTCTTCAATATGCAGACGATTTAGCTCTATACATCTCCTCAAACAACTTCACAGTGGCATGTTCCCGTCTAAACTCATCCATGGATTATTTACAAGAATGGTTAACTAATCATGGCCTCTCTTTATCTGTGGCCAAGAGTAGTGTGGTGATCTTTTCCCGCCAAAGGCGAGTTCCCGATATATCTGTTGTATATGATAAGCAACCTATTCCAGTTAGAGGCAATGTAAAATTTTTGGGAGTTATCCTTGATTCGAAATTGGCCTTCGGTCCATACATTGAATATATAACACAAAAATGCGAAAAAAACATAAATATTCTTCGGTCTTTGTCAGGTGTTTGGTGGGGGTCCCATCCTTTTTCTCAGAAATTACTGTACAATGCTTTAATACGAAGCCACCTTGACTATGGATGTTTTCTGTTGGAGCCTTGCAATAAATCATCCCTTAAAGTAATGGACAAAATTCAATCGAAATGCCTTCGCATTATTACAGGGGCAATGAAATCCTCACCAATAAATGTTCTTCAGGTTGAGTGCGTAGATCCTCCTTTAAGATTAAGAAGGCAATACCTTTCAGACAGATTCTTATTTAAGATCTGCCAACTTTCAGATCATCCCCTAATTCCTAAATTGCACCTTCTTTCAGAGTATATCTCATCTGACCGATACTGGACCCATAAGGACTCTCCCTGCTTGTTTAAAAGTTTTGTAATTTTTCTTCAGCTTCCTTACCCAATCTTTCAATGCAAAATAAATCCACTCTTTGATGTTCCTTACGAGGCTATTGTTTACCAACCCGACATTCATCTAGATCTAGGTATAGAAAAGGATTCTCCAATGGCAAATTTGAAATTAAAAGAAATTATAGAAAACACCTTTAAAGATTGGCTTGTCATGTACACAGACGCTTCAAAACATTCTGATGAAGACTATACTGGAGCTGCTGTTTGGATTCCTAAGTTCAAAATCATTCTTAACTTTAAATGCCTCTCACTATCCTCCACTTTTACTGGTGAAGCAACTGCAATCAGTGAAGCTTTGTTATATGTAGAGTCACATAATCTTAATAAAACAGTTATTTTCACAGATTCAAAAAGTTGTTTGTTAGCTATTTTGTCCAATCAATTCCATAACAAACATAAGATTCCACTAATTCTAAAAATAAAAAATACCCTATTCAGATGCCATCTTAAAGGAATCCATGTTTCAGTGGCCTGGATTCCAGGCCACAGTGGTATCCATGGTAACGAAACAGCTGATGTACTCGCTAAAAATGCAATTGCTAATGGCATTCTACAAAATTTAATTTACTCACATGACCTAATTTTGCTAGCTAAAAGGAAACTGAATGAAAATTGGAATAAATTATGGGAAGTTTCCAAAAAAGTTAAAGGTAAGCACTATGCTGCCATCCAAGAGGTTATTCCTCCCAAGCCTTGGTTCTTTAAATTTAACAAAGCAAATAAACATGCAACTTCAATCATTTGTAGATTAAGAATTGGACACGCCTGTACACATGCACATCTGGCAAAAATCAGAGTAAGGGATAGCTCATTGTGTGAATGTGGCTTAGATGAAGGTTCCACAAACCATATTTTTTTCAACTGTCCCAAATTATCCTCCTCCCTTTATGATTACCTTCCTCCTTATATTCCTCGACCTATAGATTTTAATTCTCTTTTAACATATACCAGTACTCCTTTTGTGTATATTTTATGTGATTTTATTAATACTAATAATATGAAACTTTAAATCCTTGTCACTTTTAACAAACGGGTAAGAGTCTAACACCTGTGTTTGTCATATTTGTTCTAGGTAATTCAACAAATAGATTTGTCAAAATTCTCGGAGGAAAACTGAATCCTTGTATTATCACAGACTCTTATTTTAATTGAACTCATAAGCTTTCATTTTCTACTCAATACGTCATTGGCGAATTTTATCAAACCGCCACAAAAGAAAGAAGAAGAAGAAGAAGTAAATAAAAATATATATGTAGTTTTCGTGGTACATGCATAAGTACCATATCTTTCCTTTTTGTTTTAATTAGTGATTATGCAAGGATTTACTTTAAGACAATTTTTTCTTTAAGTTGCTTTTTGACAAGATCTTTTAAGTGAGTTGCCTCTCTCATTATTATTTTGTGTATGGACACCATAATGTTTTTAATTTACAGACCTACCACATTTAGTCAAGAGTCTAAATGCCCGAATGAATATTCTTCTGGTCCTGGAAGCGAGTGTTTATCTTCTTCAACCAGTAGTAATGCATGGAATGAAGGAGGTACTGGTTTAATAAGAAGAGATATTCCTTATCCAATATTCTATATTCCTCAGACTAGACTTGAAGAAATAGAAAAAATAGAAAATTGTTACAAGAGGTAAAAATTAAACTATATTTCGTATAACTTGTAGGTTGAGCTGTTTACTAATTTCAAAATTAATATCTAATGGCAGGAAGGAAGTGTATAAAACCAACCATAATTTGTTGACTCCAGGCTGGGTCATATTATGCATAATTTAGCAGCACTATTATTATGCTGAACATATTCAATATTTAAGCTTAGTTTAGCATATTGGACAAATTTTATATTTGGACATGTAGTAGTGTATAGTATTAGAAAATGAACTTTTTTTTTATAGGAGAGGGCGCAAACAAACATACGGCTCACCTGATGGTAAGTGATTACCGCCGCCCATGAACAACTGTAACACCAGGGGAATTGCAGATGCATTACGGACATTTTAAAAAGGAGTAAGCTCTTTTCTAGAAGGTCCCTAAGTCTCTCTGGTAGTAGTCGATTCCACAAGGAAGTTGTGCGAGGAAGAAGACTTCTTTTAATTTGCATGTCGTGGTGAATATGCAAATTAAAAGAAGTTACAATAGGTAGTCATCCAGATGGTATGAATGGTATCGCAAGTTTTGTCGAGATATGCGATGGTGAAATTGTGCGGCTGGAATTAGTTCGAACAATTCCTCAGAGCACTCCCCTTAGTAGATGCCATAAAATGCGCAAAGAGATGTAACATCTCTTCGCAGTGCCAGAGAGTCAAGCCGATGGTAAAGAGTTCGAACGCCGACGATTCGAAGAGCTCTGCGCTGGATGCGATCAAATGGAAGGAGCTGGTACTGGGGAGCCCCGGCCCAGAGATGGGAACAGTATTCCATATACGGCCGAACCTGCGCATTGTAAAGTTGCAGGCGGTGAGCTGGCATGAAATACTAGCCCGCTCTGCTGAGCACGCCAAGCTTTTTAGAGGCCATTTTGGCCTTCTCTTCCAAGTTTCCACGAAACTGCACGTTACTCGATATGTCAACACCGAGGATACAGATACTGGCTGAGGCAAAAAGGGGAGTGCCTTGAAAATGAAGAGATACGACGTAGGGGTTGTTTTAGCGGTAAACGCGAAAACTTGTCTTCCTGGGATTAAACTGAACTAGATTTAGTCACCTCCAGTCTGAAACTTTGTTCAACAAAGTTTCGACTTGAGACACAAGTTTGTCCCGGTACTCTGCGACGTTTTCTCGAGAAATATTGGCAAGGCCGGTGTATAAAGCATCACCAGTGCTGTCGTTTGCAAATCAATTAATGTTACTGAACTTCTAAGGCTCAGAAGAAACAGCGTTGATGATAGCACACAGCCTTGTGGAACACCAGCGTTAATGGGCTTGTAATCGGAGCATGCACCGTCTACTATCTAATACATATCGTCTTACTATCCAGTAAAATCTCGAAGCTTGTTGAAGGTCAAACAACATTATGCACCAGCTTTGCCGGGCCCGATGAAGAGATAGAGGTGATGTTGGTATCAGGACATCTCTAGAGCTAGACATACCTCGAAAACCTACTATGATATAGATAAGAGACTTCATTGCAAAGCTAGCCGCAAGGAATGATGGTAAGCTATAGTTGAGGACATTTGAAATGGAGTAGCGGAACTCATGGGATATAAATGTGGCTGATTTCATGAATAAGTACTCTTTATGACGAACACTTACTCACAGAAGTGTTCTTACATTCAAAATTAATATTAATTCCGCGCACGGTAGCACTTCTCCTGAGGTGTGGAGCAAAAGGGTGATAGTCTTGTTATTCAAGAAAAGCAACAACACTCTGTTGAACAGTTACTAACCGATTTCTCTTCTGAGCCACGTCCACATTATGTTTTCGTCATTACAATTCGTCTCATAAGTAGACTTGAGACCTCGAAACTACTGGACAGATCCATTTCTAAAAGGGCTTTAGGACAGAAATTGTATGTTAGGCTGAAAAGCACAATTTGCTACTTTGTCTTTCATATGTTAACTTAATTCCATGGGATTGTGACTGTGGGGACACTCCTTTGATTTGGTTTATATGTAATGAATTAATCAGTAATGCTACAATAACTATTTAAGAACAGAACCGGAGTATGTATCTAAACCTATCCAACTACAGTAAAATGTAGCACATGGTAGTATTTTATCTCTCCGAAATTCTTCACCGCTGCATTATTTTCTTTTTTTTTCTTATTAATTTACATTACTAATATTCCTTTTAACCACTCCTGGTAAGCTTCAAACGCTTGTGTCAGGAGTGGTTCACGACAATAGTCAAATGGCGGATTCAAACCCACGACCTTTTGAGTAGCTTTGAGAGAGACAAAAAATAATATGATAGCAATGTTAATGATAAACACATCATTTGCATTAGAAATTGAAATCATTGACATCCTTTAAAACTAGAAATATATGATATACTACTATACTGGGACTTTAATAACGCAAATCTAAAGTTTTAATATTGCAAGTAGGGGAAAACCGTATTAGCAATTTTCAAGTTAAAATTTATAAATAAACATGATAAAATAATAACAACAAAATAAATAATACATACCAATAAATCGTGAGCTCTCAAAAGCAACACCTGCCAAAGATCCCAATGTCTTTATACTTTACATATTTTTTTTAATGTAATTTTTTTCTTTCTTGACTCGTTACTTGTTTAATTAACTTATATTCCTAACTAGCGATCGCGCCGGCCTTTCTTTATTTAATAAGGGTGACAAACGAGCACACAGTCCACCTGACGTTCAGTAGATGCTGTGGCCCATAGACATCTACTGCGGCATAAAGCTGCCTTTTTACGCTGGTATTCTGTGAGAGCGTGGTCCTTCCCAGGTCAAGTCGACCCATTCATGCTACAATGACAACATAGCTGCAGCATGGCTATACCATGTATAAAAAAATTTTTGCCTTGCCTAACTAGGATGGATTAATGGGGTGTTATTTAGATTTAAGATATTTATCAAAGACCATTTTATTTTATCAATTCTTTGATATCTCAAAAAAATTCTACAAGCTTTTTGGATAAAATATAAGCTAGATCGCTCCTGGTAAAGGTCCTTATCTGTTCTTGATATTTTACCACAATCGGTCAGCATTCAGAAGATTAGCCCCACTGGACGTCAGCAAGTCGAGTGAGCCTGATGGAGTCCCTCCCATTGTGCTGAAGATGTGTGCTCCGGAGTTGACACCGGTTTCAACGCGTCTTTTCCAGTACTCCTACTCTCAAGTCGTATCGCTATCATCTTGTTCTCCAAAATAATGGAGTTCATTATAAACTGCCAGCTCATGAGGAACCTTGAGGATCACCAGCTGATTAGTGAACGCGAATATAAATTATGTCGTGGTCGATCAGCTGGTGATCTCCTGGTCTACCTGACTCATAGATGGGCGGAGGCAGTAGAGTCCAAGGGGGAGGCATTGGCAGTTAGCTTGAACAAAGCGAAGGCCTTTGATCGGGTCTGGCACACAGCGCTTCTATCGAAGCTCCCTTCCTATGGGTTTCCCGAAAAATTGTGCAATTCGATCACCAGTTTCACCAGTTTCAGTAGTAGACGGTGCATGCTCTGATTACAAGCCTATAAACGCTGGTGTTTCACAAGGCTGAGTGCTATCACTAACGCTGTTTCTTCTATATATTAATGATATGTGTGTCTTTGCTGAACAAAGTCTCGGATTGGGGGCGACTAAGTGCTGATACTCAATCGGCCCTAAATCTAGTCGAGTTCAATCCCCAGACAAAGGTTTGCGCGTTTACCGCTAAAAAAATCCCTTTGTTGTATCTCCTCAGTTTCAAGGCACTCCCCTTGCTGCCTCAGCTAGCATCGGAATCCTCGGCGTGGACATATCGTATAGTGTGCAGTTTCTTGGTCACTTGGAGGGCAAAGCCTAGTTGGCCTCTAAAAAGCTTGGCTTGCTCAGCAGAGCGGGACAGTATTTCATGCCGGCACATCGCTTACAACTTTACAAAGCGCAAGTTCGGCCTCTCATGAAATATTGCTCTCATCTCTGGGCCGGGGCACCCCGGTGCCAGCTCCTTCTACTTAACCGCATCCAGCGCAGAGCGATACGAATCGTCGACGACCGAACCTTTCCGAGATCTTTCTGATCGACTTGATTCACTGGCGCTGAATAGGGATGTTGCATCCCTTTGCGTTTTCTATCGCCTCTACTACGGGGAGTGCTCTGAGGAATTTTAGGGATTAATCCCAAATTTCATGAACATCACATCGCGTCAAAATTGAAGATACCATCCTCACCGTCTGGATGCTTGGTGGTCCACTACTGTGCGTTGTAATAGGAGTTTTCTTCCTCGTACAACTTCTCTGTGGAGCTCTGTGGTGGTTTACCACCGGCGATTTTTCCGGATCGATATGACTTAGGGACCTTCAAGAAAAGAGCTTACTCCTTTTTAAAAGGCCGGCAATGTACCTGCAATTCCCCTGATGTTGCGGTTGTTCATGGGCGGCGGTAGTCACTTAACATCTGGTGAGCCGCATGCTTGTTTGCCCCGTCTTCTATAAAAAAAACTAAGCTCAATAAAATGCCGTTATTTCGATATTACAGAAAGACATTTCAGTTTCATTTATAAGTATTGATATGAGTAGGTTAATAGAGGTCATTGATTTCAATTTCACCCTGTAGTAATTATAGAAGTCTCTGGTAAATCTTAGTACTATGTTCAATAACCTCAATAGTGTTTCTCAAAGAATAGATATTAAGATGACCCCTCGAACGGGTTCTCGCTTTGATGTGGAGAGGGGCTTAGTACCCGCGGCTTGTTCACCCACGGTGAATTAAGGGGAACCCACATGGCTGTCCCGCGGTGAAGGCTACTTCGAGTGGGCTTAGCGAGCCCGCTTTGTATGTATGTTAGTGGGCTACGGCAAGAGGGGTGTACTCTCCCTCTACCGCCGCAACCGAGTTTGAATCGCAGGGGGAGAGGAGAATCGACCAGGTAACTTCAACTTCGAACAAAAAACCCATCGACGGATGCCGAGGTATAGTGAGAGGACCGGTATTGTTTGAAGAATCACAACAAATGTTGTTACAACCTTAAAAAAAGTGTACAATCATTGTTTACGAAACTAAGACATGTTAGCCATACAGGATACTTAAAGGCTATGCTCGGAGTTACTGTGTGTTTTGTATCGGTAACGAATATATCTGTACTTGAACCAGAGAAACCCACGTAGCCAACCAATCGGATCTGTAAGCTAGAAGTGATAGTGAGGCCATAGAGCTTTTACCACTGTCAACCGATGGGGATGAAGGGAGAAGTTCTGTCATACCGGTATTTGGCGCACCGATTGCCACTTCAGCTTAGGTACTTGTCATTGCTTATATTTATTTATCGCATATTATTTATTTACAATATGTTTAGCTGCGATGCTTCGGGCTACAGACTTGAGTCGCGCAATGAACAAGTATTTGTATGACCTGCAAATAATTACACAGGGTCTGGATCTTAGTTTGTTTTAATTTTATATACGTAGGTATATAAAACGTCTTCACGATACAGGAGAAGTTATAATACATATTATGATCTAAATTTTGTTTAATGTGATAATTAAATATATTTATTTGTACTTGTTTATCTTATTTAATTTCAGATATAATCTTGATAGATTTAACCTAGAAGGCAAACCCCTGTGCTCAGTTCAGCTAAATTCTTTTATGTTTGCTGCTGTGAACAGTGCAGTTTGCTTAAGAAGGTTAGTTTGAGATAAATTAATTGCATTTATGATATATTGTACGCTGATTGATGTGTTGTGTTACAGCATATTTAAGTGTAAATAATAAACTTAAGATAATTTGGCTAAATTTAGGTTCAGTTGTAAGCGTAAGCTAATGTTGTAATGTTGCGTATGCTGATGTTGTTTGTAATGTATTCTTTTTAACCGACTTCAAAAAAGAAAGAGGTTTACAATTTAATTGTATGTGTATACTTTTTCTATGCTTGTTACGCGATATCTTGACCAATTGTGACCCGTTTTAGATTTTTTTTTTATTAAATAGGTTACACTTTGAGGTTGGTTCCCATAAAAATTTGGAGAGAAAATCTACCTTAAGGGTGGCCAAATAGGAGATGAAGTTTTAATTTATCTATTTAGTCGGCATTGAGATTTTGATAATCCGTAGTCAACAAAAGAGTATAGAAAAACTTTTAACAAAAAGTTATTTCTATGCGTGGTAGAGCCACGCTGCAGCTATATTATGGTTGTAGCATGAATGTGTCGGCTCGATCGGGGAAGGACCACGCTCTCACAGAAAACCAGCGTAAAATAGCAGCTTAATGCTGCTGTGTTTCGTATGGTGAGTGTAGAGAACCGGAGACCCATTTTACTGGGGTCGAGGCATACCATCTTAGTCCTCAGGGGTGACAACACATCTGCATTTTGATTCTTAATCGAATGTAAATGTCTATGGGCCACAGCATCTACTTACCATCAGGTGGATTGTGTGCTCGTTTGTCACCCTTATCCTATAAAAAAATTAAAATATAAAGTCGGCATTTACTTTTTGTTAAAAGTTCTTTTATGACACATAAACAATAACTAAAACTACATACCTCTTGGTCGAACTGAGATGTATTCGATTTATTCATGAATACATACCTAACTAAGTGTAGCCAGTTGTCAGTAAGTTAAGGTGCTAAGTACTAAGATTAAATGCAATAATAAGCAATTAGTGTAGGTACTAAACTACTACCTTAATTTTATCTCTATGTAGTAGTTTGGTCCATTTGTTTGACACATGCAACTGCATTTCAATAAAATAAACTTGAAGTTGCATGCAACTTCTTTAGGAAACACTTCAGCAACAAATTTATTCAATAATTTTAGATTAGTAGTTGCTAAGACAGTGACAATGTATTTTATTTCTTTTGGCGTAAGAAAATAATTGGTGTTTTAATATTTTTCAGGTCAGCGACGTCAGCACTTCTTACACCTACAAAAGTCTGTGACCCATTAGGTGATCAAAATGTGCACTATTCACTCTTCCCATTAGAAAAGGTAAATTGTTTGGTTTATGATAAATAGAAATTTCTTAAATCTATTAATGTATTATTTAAACACGATATTCAATGTATAATTTAAAGCGCCAACAACTGCTTATCACACAATTCAATGGTTTATTCTTGCCTTCTTTATTATACTATGTACCCTTGCTGGCTTATCAGCGAGGGTACTTAAGCAGGTGTCCTTACAGGCCTATACATTCTTAAGTGCACTATGTTTTCTTCGATGATTGTTTTCGGTTGCTTTGTCATACTCTTTTTTTTCCAAGCGGCTGCTACTTCGGCATGCTTGTGTTGCCCCATTGCACGCTCAGTTCAGCCTATTTTGTGCAGTTTTATATAATAATCACGATCATGATCATCATCATCATTTTTATCACAACATCATAAGTCCACTGCTGAACATTAGCCCAAAACATACCCAAGTAATATCACAAAACAGTTTTATAAAGTAAATATTTGTCGTTATAATAAGTAGTACATGCGTTAGCCTCTCGAACGGCAAGCGTCCAAATTTGACCGCTCCGATATTCCGTCAAAATTCAGAGGTCAAATGACCGCACTCACCCACAGCACTTTAACCCATCAATACTTATGGTTAGAGACTACTTTTCTATGAAGAAGTTTAGCATTATAGAATCAATATGAAATTTTCTAAATGAAATCTAAATGGATGTTAATATGTGATGTAATGTGTTGATCTTTGGATTTTTCTAGTGTATAAAATTGTAATGAAAGTTTTTGTGTGAATATAATTTATCTTTTTACGTAAATAAATTGAGTAATATATATATATATATATATATATATATATATATATATATATATATATATATATATATATATATATATATATATATATATAGAAATAATTTTGATTTTCACGCTGCCTACATTCGCTTGGTATTATTTTTTTTTGTTATCAAATACAATAAAATCTTTTTGTAATGAAGTATCACCTGATTTTTGTTTAGACCACAGGATAGAGAATTTTGTATAGATTTTATAATGCCAAACTTCTTCATAGAAAAGTAGTCTCTAAATATAAGTTTTAATGGTTTAAAGTGCTGTGAGTAGGTGCGGTCGCATGCGACCGCTCGGGATATGCCGGACGCATGCGACTGCATGGGATTTTTATGGGGATTGAAGGGTTAAAGCGTTAATAAATAAAGCGAAGTTTGCCATTACTTCCAGGTAACGGAAGTAATGGCAAGGAATGGAATGAAATACTTCTTGTGTTGCAACTGTACTTACATATTGATCTATTCCACATTCTTTAAAGTAGGTAGATGTAAGTCTGGGCTGCCTACTTGGAATTAAATTAATTAGTTCAAAACTGATATTACTCTTAAAAATATATTTGTTCCAATAGATAGAATTGGTCATCAATGTTATATGATAATCTATTATGTGAATTTTCAGGGAGAAGAGGTAAAGAAAAAACCAATTACTTTAGTAACTGCTAGAATTGATACAGCATCATTGTTTGATGGTGAGTGTTTTTTCACTGTTTTTTTTTATATTACACGAAGCAGTGACGGCGTCACTGGTTTGATATTCATTTCTTGATATACAATTCTAATATATAAAAATTAACGTTTTTTGTTTGTTTGTTGCCAAAACTTTTACAACTTATTGCTTGCACTTGCGGGAAGGTTATAGGCATAGTACAATTAACTTACATTAAGTGGCGCGCGTATCGTTTATTATTTGAAAGTATACAATGTGTTAATTTTACACTTGATCAAACCATACGTAAAATTCCCATCCTTCGGTTTTAAATTATTTTCTCTTTAACCCGCTAGCTCAGAAAGAACAGCAAACATGTTAAGTAAACGGTGTATTTTTTTCAAAGTAGTTTTATTTGAAAGTTAGAAAGATTAACTAGCAATAAAAATTAAAAAAAAACCTACGATATCAAGCAGGAAATTTGTCAAAAAAATAATAATTTTTGTAAAAAAAAACTTTAATTTTTGGTCTGTAACTTCAAAACTAGTACGTTGAGATAACCTTTTTAGCATGTTTTATTAAACTACATAGCTTACTGTACAAATTCTCCAAAATAACATGCGTTCTATCTCTTTTCGTTTTTAAAATAATAATCATCAAAGAATGCCATCGGTATGTTGATTTGCGCTTATGCGCCGCACCTAATTTGAACACCCCTGGTCGAACAATAGCAGGTAAAGATAAAAAGAGATAGATCAAGGAAAGGCGAAACAAGTGAGTGAGAGAGTGAATTGTCGTTTGAATGAGATTTGGGTCTCGTTCTCGTAAAGCATGCAGGCACCAGGCAGCGTTAGCTATTTTAAACAGTTCATCTTGTAACGTTACCTAATTTGCACGTTGAATACGCTCACCATTTTTTTCGTCGTTATGCCTTCTACGATAGACTCATTGTCTGCTCGTGAAGTAGCTGACATTCATTACATTTACGAGTTTTGTGATGGCAACGCTCGCGCCGCCTCTCGAGAGTATCATCAGCGATTCCCGACAAGACCTGCCGTTGACTACAGGGTTTTTTTAGCAGTACATCGAGAATTAAGTGAAAATGGACTGCATCGCCCACATCGTGAACGTGTGTGCGTTCGAACGAAGTGTTGCGTTTGGTGTACCAAGACCCCACAATTAGTACTCCACGAATAGCACTCCAACTGGGGATTAATCACGTCCAAGTGTGGAAAATTTTGAAAAAGGAATGTTTGTACCCCTTTCATTTTCGAAGAGTGCAGAATTTGCACGAGCCAGATTACGTCGGAAGAAGTGTTTTCTGTTCGTGGCTATTGCGGCAAAGATGATTAGTCCCGAACTTCAGTGACCGTATTTTGTGGACCGATGAGGCAAATTTTAACAGAACTGGAATCACAAATTTTCGAAAACTTCACTTATGGATGCCGGAGAAAATATCCCTTAGCAGTTCGGCCAGCGTCCTTTCAAATCGAATTTTCGATTAATGTTTGGGCTGGAATGATAAGTGATTACTTAATCAGACCATTTATTCTTCCGTCAAGGTTGACAGGCCCAGCTTACCTAACATTTCTACAAGAAGAGTTACCTGACCTGATGAGTGATGTGGATATACAAACAAGGAGGAGGATGTGGTTTCAGCATGACGGCGCTCCAGCTCACTTCAGCACCATCGTGCGTGATTATTTAAACGAACGATACTGAGATAGATGGATTGGACGAGGCGGACCAGTAGCGTGGGCGGCACGAAGCCTTGATTTTTTTTTTGTGGGGCCACATGAAATAGATTGTGTACAGTACTCCAATTAGTACAAGAGAAGAATTGTTACAAAAAATAATGGCTGCGGCTGGTCAAATAAAAGAAAATCGTACTATATAAAAAAAACAGTATGTACTGTGGCATTACTCGCACTCACGTCCCGTCACTCACTTACGTCCCAACTGTATGTATGGATGAAAATGGTGGTTGGTGGAGCCACGTGTTTAAGGCTGCCGAAGTCTAGTTCCCCGGTCGAACCTTAAACCTATTACGCGAGATATTAATCTAAGTGGACTGTATCTACAATATGCTTCTACACTTATATATGCGGTACAATGCACTCGCTCTTCCCTAAAAAAACGAACTATTATTTGCCAAATCGATGAAGGGAATCCTGCTTGATTAGGAAAACACAAAATTGGAGCGGGTTAAAACAATTATATCAAGCAGGCTATAATATTGGATATTGACTCACCGGGATGTTTCTTCTATGCGGTCGAGCACTATAACTGGGACTTCTGGAACCTCTTCTGGACAGACACTCTGGGGCCCCAGAGGTACGTCGGGAGAGAATCGGTGTGGTTTCAACGGCGAGCGCGGCGGGAAGAGCCTGCGCGTCGGTCGCGCGTGCCTTATATATCCTCGGTTCCGATGATTACGTGATGTTTTAGAATCATCTTCTTTCCCCTCCCACCCCACCACCCCGATGTGTCGATAGGAGGGTATGAATGATATCGTTTTGGAAAGGGATAACCGATCTGGCAACCTACCGTCAAATAAAATAAATACGAATGGTTTTCCGCGCAACCATCTCCCCCCGCCCTTGAAGGATCTCCTTCAAAAAATAACTAAAACAACTAGAGCTTAGATCAAACTAACAAAATAACTAACTTACGCTAAGATTACCTAAATTCAACTACAATTTCTAATCTAGAAAGCTAATTTAAATTATGGAAGAGGCAGGGGGCACAAACGGACAACAGGACGCAGGTAAGACCCAACCGTGGTCTTAACGCGAGCTATCCTAATTACTCCGTCGGAACCGGGAAAGACCTCTTCGACAATTCCTAACGGCCAGTGGAGAGGCGGCGCATTCTCCTTAGTGAGCACAACTACAGTTCCTACAGCTAAAGGCTCAGTCGCTGTGTTCATTTTTGCCGAGACTGCAAAGTATGCAAGTATTCCATCCTCCATCGTTTCCAAAACGATTGCACTAACCGGTCTAATAATTTGTAGCGTGCGGAAATGCTAAGTCTGTTCTCATCCATATCTGCGGCGGGCAAATACTTTAAAGGCGTTAAGTTCAAAAAATGTGTTGGAGTTAGAGCCAGCGGTTCCGAGGGGTCACTAGACAACGTCCAACAAAGTGGGCGGCTATTCATTACGCATTCAATTTGAGCGAGCACCGTACTTAGCTCTTCGAAGGACAAAATTTGATCTCCTATTACTCGGTATAAGTGACTCTTTAGACTCTTAATATTAGTCTCCCAATTGCCCCCAAAATGACTCGCGGCTGGGACGTTCAGAGACCACTCAATGCGGTTCTCGGCTAGAATGTGAGCGAACTCCGAATTACAATACTTGCTAGCTAAGAGCTCATGTAGTTCCGATAGAATACGTTTTGCACCGACGTAGTTCGTACTGTTATCCGAATATAATTTACTTACAGGGCCACGGCGGGATAGAAATCTTTTAAATGCACCCATAAAGCCTGCTGTGCTTAGATCACCAACGAGTTCTGTATGCACCGCTCGAGTAGTTAGACATACGAAAATGCAGACGTAAGCCTTTGTGGATCTTATACCACGCCCGCGAGTGAGCGTGACCTTAAACGGACCAGCGAAATCAGACCCGGTGTGCGTAAAGGGCTTTACGATTTTTTTGTATTACTCTACAAGATCTAAGTTCCGCCATTTCCGGAAATGACGGCTTGGGGCCCGAAAGCAAGCTATACATCTGTGCACCCGATTGCGTATTAAACTACGTGCAGAAAGAATCCAATAATTCTGACGCAAAATCGACATTAACAAGTCGGGGCCAGCGTGCGAGTTCAATTTATGATGGTAATCGACTAATAAGTTCATGATATGGTCTTTACGCGGTAAAACTATAGGGTGCCGTTGGTCGAAACTCAACTGCGAGTTGGACAAGCTTCCACCTACCCTTACAATCCCATCCTGTAAAAATGGCTTAAAGCGTTGAAAGGCGCGACTACAAGCTCTATTCGATTGTAATCTTGTAATTTCTTCAGAGAAGTGCGCACGTTGAAGTTCACGTAATACTAGCGACTCGGCATAGTTCTAATCGGACGCTAAGACATACGAACGTCGCGGTAAAAGCTTCGCGAATCGACAAACGTAAATTACGCTACGCAATAATTTCGACCAAGAGGATAAGCGGTTCGCCAAAGCAATGATTGGAGAAACCTCGCTCGAAACGTTCGCCACTGGAGCGTGTCTCTTCTCTTCCGGCGGTTGTGAAACTGACGAAGGTTCGAAATCGGTTATCGGCCATTGCGAGGGATCCAAGTGAACGCAAGAAGGTCCATGGAACCAAAGCGGGTGGTCCATTATTTGCATCGGGGTGAGTCCCCGGGATAGACAATCGGCAGGGTTTTCCGTACCGGACACGTGATAAAAGTTCCGCGTTTCTAACTCGTCTTGGATCTTGGCCACTCGGTTCGCGACAAACGTATCCCAACGGTGGGGTGAAGAATGAACCCAGCATAAGGCGACGGTGGAGTCGGAAAAGGCAAATATCCTTTCTATGTGAACTCTATCCCTACATGCGCTGATAACTGCGGTAATAAGCTTGGTGAGTACTAATATTGCGCAAAGCTCTAAGCGCGCCAGAGAGACAACCTTACGGGGGGAGACTCTCGACTTAGAACTAATGAGGCTAATCGAATTTCTACCATTATTCTGAACGTGGAAATATACAACGCCCCCGTAAGCCTTCTCGCTGGCATCTGCAAACCCAACGACCGTTATGACGCTATTTCTATCGACGTTTATATGACGCGGTATTCTAATTTCTCTTAGTAAAGGAAGTTCCTCTCTAAAGCGCTGCCACAATTGAACAATGCTGTCAGGCGGCGAATCATCCCAATCGCATTCAAATAACCAAAGTTGTTTAATCAAAAGCTTAGCGTATAATACCACCGGAGCTACGAAACCCATGACATCCCATAATCTAGCAACGCATGACAGTATTGTGCGCTTTGTGCATTTCTCTACGGGCGGATTTACCTTAAGGCTAAACACGTCGGACTCTGGTGACCAACAAAGACCGAGCACCTTGTGTGTATCAGAATCGTCGAATTCCTTTATCGCCGAAAGACGGTGTGATAGTGGGATTGTATCTAAAACCGGACGCGAATTACTAGTCCACTTGACAAGATCGAATTGACCCGATTTCATGAGCTTTATAACCTCGGCGGTGGTTAGGGTAGCCTCCTCCACGCTATCGACCGAGTATACAAAATCATCCATGTATAAACCGCTCTCAATTGCCCTCTTATTTCATTGCCCTTTAGCTTTAGGGTAAGAGGGACCTTCATCGTGGGCGAGCTGTTTCACCGTGCGTAACGCATGAAATGGGCTCGACTTTAAACCAAAACAAACGCGGTTAAATTCAAACACCATTAGAGGTTCCTTTGGGTTGAAACGATATAAAATGTGTTGGAATCTACGGTCGCATTCACGGGCCCCTATGCAAAGAAACATTTGGCGAATATCGGCGGATAGTGCTATACTAAACAAACGAAAATTGGCTATTATATTAAATAAACTGCCCTGTAAATTTTGCCCACTATAGAGGATATCGTTAAGCGACAGGTGAGTGCTAGTTTTAGCACTAGCGTCGAGCACTACACGTAACTTAGATGTAAGTTTGTCCTCCCTAATGACCCCGTGGTGTGGTATGAAATACGACGGTGTGTCTTCGTAGTTATCTAATTTCGAAGCCACGAGTGATATGTAACCTTCTTTTATATATTCGTTAATGACGCCGTCGTAAGCTTCCTTTAACTGGGGTGAAGCGAGCATCCTACGCTCCAAGCTGTAGAAACGTTTTTCCGCCATTTCACGCGAATCGCCGAGAGATAAAACATCTCCTTTAAAGGGTAGCGCTACACTATATCTACCGTCGCGATCACGAACGGTCGTCCGGACGTAAATTTCCTCACATAATCTGTCATCTGAGCCAGCTATGGGTGGGACGTTCACCTCCTCCATCTCCCAAAATTTGCGGACTAACGACTCGAGCGGTTCGACAGCCATACCACAATAAGAGGTTGCCGAAATACTATCTATGATGGGGGCGGAGCCAACGATAACATAGCCCAATACGGTTTCTAGTGCGTAAGGCGCGATATGCGAGGAGTTGCCCCTGACCTTATTGTTTAACAAAAGATGAGGGAAAAGCGATGCTCCAATGAGCATGTCTATGTTTCCAGGAACGGCGTAAGTGTCGTCCGCTAGAATCAAATTTTTAAATTCAATCATTGCCGAGGTGTCAACCGAAACGGTTGGCAACCGTTCAGTGACCCTATCTACTACTAGTGCATTTATATCAAAGTTAACATTACGATCTATCCGAGAATAAAATTTTAAATTAATATATCCCTGGGTAGCTTTACTAGTACCTCCGATGCCTTTGACTACAGGACATGAAAGTGACCTATTTATTACTAAGCCTAAGCGCTGACAACATTGTCGTGTTATAAAGCTATTTTGGGCTCCGCTGTCCAGCAGTGCACGGACGCTTTGTTCGTTTCACGCGAATCCCTAACCAAAATACGCGCCGTACCCAGTAACACGGTTGAAGGAGGTTGTGCTCCCATATTCGCCAATGAGCACAGAGCGACATCACCAGGTCGACCGCTAGAATCGTTGACCTTAGTAGGGGTGAATTCCTTGTCCGCTTTACTTGACGCCGCTATGTTGCTATTTTCAAAATGTAATAGCGTGTGATGTTTCCTGGCGCACTTGCTACATACGGAACTCGAATTGCATTTTGCAACTAAATGCTTATCGCTTAAGCAGTTCAAACATAGGTTGTTTGTCTACTAATTTATAACGTTCGCTTGGTGAATATTTACGAAAAGTCGCACAATTATATAAATTACTTTTGTACGATACAAGTATGCTGAAGTGATGTTGACGTCGCGGTTATGTAAGTTAACGACCCTGCTATTTTAGATGGTTGAGTCTGTCTACGGTCGACGCACCTTTTAATCTCCTGTTTAACGTTCGGAGAGCGCTGCATCACCTTTATTTGATCTCGCACGAACGATGCTAATGAATGAAAGGAAGGCATCTCCGAGCTACGATGCTCCATTTCAAACGCACGCACGGTGTCGGGGTCTAATTTCTTTAGTGCAATATGGAGAAACACCACGTCCTTAAGGTCATTAAATTTTTAATTCTTAAGTGCAGCCACCGATGCCACAAATTTATCTAGAAACTGATCTAAGCCGTTGATGTTCGCGGATGATATAGGTTTAAGATCGAATATCTGGTTCAAATATTCGGAAGCTAACATTCTCCTATCTTCATATTTAGTTTTAAGCGTTTCGAATATTAATAAGTAATTGTTTGCTGTAGGTGTAAAACCCGAGCAGATCGACTGTGCCCTGCCACTAAGTTTTCTAATTAAGTAATATAATTTTTCAGCGTCCGATAACGATGGGTTATTGTGTATATTGTTTTGAAAACTACTGAAGAAGAAGGGCCACGTCTTAATATCACCATTGAATACCGGAATATCTATTGGCGGCAACCTAATTGAGTCACGTGGACGTACCTGTATTTCCGGCTTTGCTTCGCTTTGAGATTGTAGGAGTTTTGCCGTTCTTTTCACGCGACACAACATATCTTCGAATGCCAGCAGCGGTTGGTAGTTCACTATGTATTTCGGGTCGATTTGTAATTCCAAATGATTAATTTGGTCTAATATTCTTTCGTAATCCGTCCGCAAAGAATCCACAGTTTCAATTTCATTCAGAAAAGTTTCCCGCACCGTTTCTACATTAATGTTCTTTACGTGATCGCTAATGCTTTGTATACGTGAAAAAAGTACGTCCCTCTTGGCATAAAGCATTTTAATTTTAAATTCATTTCCACTAACTGCCATTTTAAATTATTATAGTGAAGTTATATTAATCACAATTAATCTCACACGCATAAACGATGGACGATGGACACTCGGTATGCCGTATTACGTAATTAAATCGAACACCTGTTACAGTCGAGGCGACGCGTTGCTCGCTAACTAAATATTTTTATCAAGATTGTCGGGTAAGCGTACCAAACGGTTGCTATCACACTGTTTCAATTTTAAAGCTTTAAATTTAACCAAATACGAGCGCTATGAAATAAACAATTCTGTTTGCGAGTGCCTAATCAAAATTTAAATTTAAACGAACACTATTTACACTATTTACGAATACTAATTATTCGACCAGAAAATGGTTGGATGACCACTAAACACCAGTGCAAATCCTGCCGAAGTGACCATAAATGGTGGAGCCACGTGTTTAAGGCTGCCGAAGTCTAGTTCCCCGGTCGAACCTTAAACCTATTACGCGAGATATTAATCTAAGTGGACTGTATCTACAATATGCTTCTACACTTATATATGCGGTACAATGCACTCGCTCTTCCCTAAAAAAACGAACTATTATTTGCCAAATCGATGAAGGGAATCCTGCTTGATTAGGAAAACACAAAATTGGAGCGGGTTAAAACAATTATATCAAGCAGGCTATAATATTGGATATTGACTCACCGGGATGTTTCTTCTATGCGGTCGAGCACTATAACTGCGACTTCTGGAACCTCTTCTGGACAGACACTCTGGGGCCCCAGAGATGCGTTGGGAGAGAATCGGTGTGGTTTCAACGGCGAGCGCGGCGGGAAGAGCCTGCGCGTCGGTCGCGATTGCCTTATATATCCTCGGTTCCGATGATTACGTGATGTTCTAGAATCATCTTCTTTCCCCTCCCACCCCACCACCCCGATGTGTCGATAGGAGGGTATGAATGATATCGTTTTGGAAAGGGATAACCGATTTGGCAGCCTACCGTCAAATAAAATAAATACGAATGGTTTTCCGCGCAACCAGTGGTCATTATGAAAATTTAAGAAATTAAATCATTTTTCTACGGTTTTTTTGTTTTACTCCATAATTTTGTCAATTAAATCATTATTAAATCAGTTTTGAATTTTGTGCTCAGATTACCTACCTTATTTTTAGTGATTATCTTAACAACGACAAGAGATAGAACCCATGTTACTTTGGAGAACTTGTAGAGTAAATCATGCAGTTTAATAAAATATGCTGGAAAAGTTACCTCAATGTGCTAGTTTTGAAGTTACAGACCAAAAATTAAAAAGAAAAGTATTTTTTAACAAAAAAAATTATCTTATTATTTTTTTGACAAATTTCCTGCTTTATATCGTAGTTTTTTTTTTAATTTTTATTGCTAGTTAATCTTTCTACCTTTCAAATAAAACTACTTTGAAAAAAGTACACCGTTTACTTAAAGAGAAAATAATTTAAAAGCGAAGGATGGGAATTTTACAAAAAAAAATTAAAATGCTTTTATTTTTTAAATAGTTTACATAAAAAAATTTTTTTCGATTTTTACCGATAATTTTTTATCTATCCGCACATTTCGTTTGATCAAATGGAAAATTAACACATTGTATAAATTTATTTGAAAGTTATATATCATTCGACTTTTGAATTTGAATTTAAAACGATATTTTTACAAGTTTTGAATAAAATATTGCATTAATACTTGCTCGGTAAAGTTGTGTTTAGTTATAAAATTAATTGATTTTTTTAAATGTATTTATACAATTTTCTTACTTTATAGGTATGGCACCAGGAGCAGCCAGCTCTGTAGTCGGGATGGTGTCCTTGATAATGTCAGCGGTCACTCTGTCAAAGATGATACCCGTCGCAAATGCTAGTCTATACGGTATGTATATTTTGAACACCATAGAATTACCAAGCATATTTTAAAATACGGGAAGTTTTCGGGCCTTTAAATTAGAGCATGGGACGGAGCGTTGATTTCATTAGACGTGACCTTGCCAACTTAATATTAACTTTAAGGTTTATGTGTGATTGTGGAGGAAGCTGAAATGGAATGCCTATAACGGCCCCATTAAGCTTCCTCCAGGCGAATATCAACCACTGCGCCTGCGCTCAGGATCTGTTGATCCAGAGCATGGCGCAGTGGTCGATTAACATAGCTGTGGTCGCTGAGCCGTATTTTGTTTGGCCTAGGGAGGACTGGGTGGCGGACCTTAACGGCTCAGTGGCCATCATCTCTTCGGCCGCCGCCGGTACCCCGACCCTTGAAGGTGTCAGGAGGGGTCAGGGGTGCGTAGCAGCACGGTTCGGGGAGTTCGTCGTTGTGGGGGTGTACTTCTCCCCGAACCGATCTCTCGCCGAGCTCCACAACTCTCTTGCAGAGCTGAGAGCAGTCGTCGTCGGAAGTTATCCCCTCCCCGTACTTGTCCTCGGGGACTTCAATGCCAAGAACTTGGCTTGGGGTTCTCGTCGTACAGATGTGCGGGGTAGGATGGTGGAAGACTGGGCTCTGGAGACAGGCCTGGTCGTCCTAAATCGGGGTTCTGTCCCCACGTGTGTGCGGATGCGGGGCGAGTCGGTGGTGGACATTTCGTTCGCTAGCCCCGCTCTGTCGCCGCGTGCCATTGACTGGCGTGTCATGGAGGGGGTGGAGACCTACTCCGACCACCGGTACATCCGGTTTGATGTCTCCACCCAGCCCTCGAGCGCGCCAGTCCAACAGGCCCCGAGTGGTCCGCGTTGGGCGCTGAAGCAGCTGGACCGGGAGCTCCTCCTGGAAGCCTCGATCGTGCAGGCCTGGGTGTCATCACCGGACAGGCCTGCCGACGTCAATGATGAGGCAGGGTGGTTCCAGGAGGCCATGTCCGAGATATGTGACGTGGCAATGCCCCGCGTCCGGCCAGGAAGCGCCCGGCGTCAGGTGTATTGGTGGTCGCGTGAGCTGACGTCTCTGCGCGAGGCGTGTATCGCCGCGCGGCACCTGTACACCAGGCATCGCAGGTTCCGCATTCGTCCACCGAATGCGGCAGCCATTGAGGCGGAGCTGTACGAGGGATACAGAGCGGCGAAGAACGCCCTCCGGGAGGCTGTCCTGCGGGCCCGGGATCGGGCCCGTGAGGAGATGCTGGAGACTCTCAACAGAGATCCGTGGGGGCGCCCTTACAAGATGGTGCGGGATAAACTCCGCACCTGGGCCCCCCGCTGACGCAAAGTCTCCGGCCCCAGCTCGTGGAGGACGTGGTGAGCGCTCTGTTCCCTGCGCGACGGGAACATCCACCCCCGCCTATGGCTCCGCCACATGCGGTGCCGGAAGCGGACCACCAGGACGACGACGACGACATCCCGGAAGGGACCGGGGTAGACCTGAGAGTGGCGGTACGTAGGCTCAAGGCCAGGAATACCGCCCCAGGACCCGATGGCTTGCCTGGCAAAGCCTGGGTCCTGGCCTCGGAGGCTCTCGGGCCCCGACTGGAGGGGCTCCTAAGCGCATGCTTGGAGAGAGGCCAATTCCCGCTTCGTTGGAAGACGGGGAAGCTGGTCCTCATTCGGAAGCCGGGGCGCCCTGCGGACTCTCCGTCCGCATACCGGCCCGTGGTGCTGCTCGACGAGGTGGGCAAGCTCTTTGAAAGAGTCATTGCAAACCGCCTCGCCGAGCACCTTGCGGGGACGGGGCCGGATCTTGCGGAACACCAGTTTGGTTTCCGCAAGAGGCGCTCTACGGTGGAAGCCATCATGCGCGTGAGAGCCCTCACGACGGGGGATGCAGTGGCCAGAGGGGGGTTGTCTTGGCGGTGTCTCTTGACATCGCCAACGCCTTCAACTCCATGCCCTGGAGCTGCATTAGGGAGGCACTCCGGTATCACCGGGTGCCGACCTATCTCCGTCGTATAGTCGGGGACTATCTGACGGACAGGGCCGTCATCTACCCCGGTCGCAACGGTGAGTGGAACCGGCGAGAGATGTCGTGCGGTGTCCCACAGGGTTCGGTTCTGGGGCCACCTCTGTGGAACATCGGTTATGACTGGGTGCTGCGCGCCGACCTCCCTACCGGCGTCAGCGTAATTTGCTACGCTGACGACACGCTGGTACTGGCACAAGGGGGGTCGTACGAGGCGGCGGCGGAAACTATGACACGCGGGGTTGCGATAGTCGTTGAGAGGATTCGGCAACTGGGTCTCGAGGTGGCTCTGCACAAGTCCGAGGCCATGCACTTCCATGGTCCTCGGAACAGGCCACCACCGGGATCCTCAGTAATGGTAGGAGGGGTATCCATCGGCGTCGAGTCGACGCTGAAGTACCTAGGACTCGTCCTCGACGGCCGATGGAACTTCGTTGAGCACTTCCGACGTTTGGCTCCCAAACTGGAACGGACCGGGGCTGCCTTCAGGCGACTCCTGCCGAACCTGGGGGGCCAAACGCCTCCTGCCGGAGGCTCTACGCGGGGATCGTGCGATCCATGGCCCTTTACGGGGCCCCGGTGTGGGCGCGTGGTTTGGCGCGGCTTGCCGTCCACCACCTGAACGCGCCCCAAAGGGTGGTCGCCGTTAAAATGGTTCGCGGCTACCGCACGATCTCCCGCGAGGCGGCGAGCCTCCTTGCCGGATTGCCGCCATGGGATCTGGAGGCGGTAGTCCTCGCACGCCTGCACGAATGGCGCGCGGAGGCACTATGCCGGGGGGAAACCCCGCTGCCGCGGCAAGTCGTCGCGCAGCGGACAGTCTTCCGGCACGATCTCATGGCGACATGGAGAGAGCGACTGTCGCAACCCCGTGCTGGGCACGCCACTATAGCGGCGATAAGACCCCTCTTTGAGGAGTGGCTTGAGAGACGCCACGGCATCCTCACCTTCCGCCTGACTCAGGTCCTCACCGGACACGGTGTGTTCGGGAGGTTCCTGCACCGAATCGGGCGGGAGGAAACGCCCGGGTGCTCCCACTGCGAGGATGGACCGGAGGACACGGTGGAACACACCGTGGAGGTGTGCCCTGCTTGGGCGGAGCACCGCCGTGTCCTCGTAGCGGCGATAGGCGGCGGCGACCTCTCGCGTCCGGCCCTGGTCGAAGCCATGGTCCGGAGCGAGACGGAATGGGATGCCGTCACCACCTTCTGCGAAGCAGTGATGCTAGCGAAGGAGGTGGCGGAGCGGGAGAAGGAAAGAGCAGCAGCTTTCCTCCCAGGCCGCCGCGGGAGACGCCCCCGGGCGTCGGGGGCTACGTCGTGGCCCCCGGCCACCGTAGGCGCGGGCCTGTGGACGGCGAGCAATGGGTAGCTCGTCGTCCGTCCGTCTAACGACGACAGGCCGTGTCGACGGCGCGTTTTGTTCCACGCGCGCCTCAAAGAGCTGTCAGCAGCGTGATGGGGCCCGCAAGGGCCGACGCCTGCCGGGGCTGCGGGCTATTCGAAAGAGATACCGCGGCTCCGGAACGTAAGGGCACTGAAGGAACACGGATGGTTTTTAGTCAGTAAAAGTCTGACACTCCCTTACGCTCCACCCAGAGCGAAAGGGGTCATTAGATGATTTTCCATCCGCAAAAAAAAAAAAAAAAAAAAAAAAAAGGTTTATAATGCCTCTTATCATTTAGTGGTCGTTACCAGTTTTCACCCTCGTGATCCTTGAGATATCACTGAACAGTTGCCGTTTGGTCGTTATAATGCAGTCAATCTCATTTTTCGTACAACCGTTTTTGGTGACCAATTTTTGAGAGTGATAAAAGAGTTCATCATGGCCTTCTTGAAGTCGGCCAGTTGTTGACATATCTACCTTTAGCTTACCATTCTCTCTTGTGGGTAGTCTTTTGTTATGCCTAAACAGGAGATGGGCAGCAACGTCTTCCTAATAACGACTAAAAATAGAAAATCTACGGTTGCCAACCTGTGTTCCAAGCGTTGCAATACAACGAAACATACTTGTGCCCGATGTTACGATTATCCGCTAAAGATAAAATATCAGCTCTAGGCTGCTTTGGTCGATAATTGTTCCATACTATGATAGGAGGGTGACGGCTACACCCTTTGATTATGTACGTCCAAAACTATGCTTGTATTGATTTGACTCGTCGTTATCTTAGTTGAGTAATGAAAAGAGTAATAAAATTTAGAAGCCTGGAACCTTTTTAATATCACACCCGGGACTGTATCTCGACTCCTGTATGTCTTGGACCTCACAGGTTAATGAGGTTAGTATAAAAATGTTTGCTGCGTTGAGCTCTTTATTTCCACAGTAACAAAAGTTACGCTTGCTCAGTCTATACTTCTGCCTATCCCTGATTATGCTGATATTTGCTATATTGACGTTACCGAGGAGCAAGCTTGAGCGCATTCAAAATGTATGTACATATTAGATTTATATTTGGACTCGCAAATATGATCACATCTCTGAATGTCGCAAACAGCTCAAATGGCTCCCGAGTCGCTCTCGCAGGTAAACTCACATTCTCTCCTTTTTGTATAGTGTGCTATTTAACTCTTTCACTCCTCATTATTTAAAAGACCATTTCATATATCTTTCCCTTACCCATAATTGGTTCCTTCAATCCTCTGCCAATATTTTCTATCTACTTCTTCGCACTCTTCCTCCTTTTGTAAGAAATCTTTTACTGTCACTGCTGTAATTTTGTGGAACTCTCCACATTCGTCGTGCTAAATCTCTTTATTTTTTTCAAAAGCCTTGTTAATTCGTATTAATTAGAACGCTATTAGATAAATTACTTATCACATTTATATGTATTTTCATAATTTTTTTTTGTACGCGTCCCTCTCAAAGGTTGTCTAAAAGAGATCACTTTCAGAGAGTTAAGACCGCTTGTTGTTGACCGGCCACGGCGGCCAGCCTCAGCGGAGGCTAGCAATCGCCGCAGGACAGGATTATAGTGCCCAAGTGCATGCACAAGCACAGGTGCACTCTCTATTCCCTCACTCTTATAATCCGATGGGATGGTAAATCGACACGACCGGAGAGAGATCAGGCGCAGGACCAACGGCTTTACGTGCTTTCCGAGGCACGGGGGTGAGACACTGCCAACTTCCTGACTCCGGGCAACTACTGAGAATTTCTTGACGGAAAAACTCAATAATTAGTTTTTTTTTGGCCCGACCCGGGATTCGAACCCAGGACCTCATGATCAGCAGTCGTACTACTACAACCACTAGACCAAAAGAGGCAGTCAATGTACATATTATACTTAAGGTTTAACTGTACTCGTTATTCTTTATTTTGGTGTGCAATGAGGAATAAATAAATAAATATTTCAGACAACAGACTCAATTGTATTGTGTGATAAATATTTGGTAAAATATTTCCACAGATAACAACGTGTTGTGGGCTTTGTTCAACGGCGAAGCGTTCGACTACATTGGCTCGCAACGGGTCGCGTATGACTTGAGCCGCGGCGCTTGGCCCCCGTTTTCTCCTCTAACCCCGTCCGATATAAATTTACACGTGGAGCTGGGACAAATTGGTGGCTCGCTACAAATTTATAAAGAGAACGCTTCTTGGCCTTTGTACGCTTACGCTGCGTCCAGTTTTTCGCAAGTAAGTTATTAACAAATGTACATTTTCAAAATATTTCATTTTATATTTTCTGTTATCGAACATTTCCCATACGTCCAAAACATTTGCAAAAATACCTCCAACCACCCTGAAAACAAAACATAATTATAAGCATCTAGAGTATATGTTTGGAAAAAGTCAAATTCTCAAGATTATTATTTAATTTTTGTAAAAAGGGGGCGTCCATTAAATATTAAGGTGTAGAAACGGGGGGGGGGGGGGGGGGTCGAGGCGAATTTTACAGAGAAAAAGTTGATCGTGAATAATAGTTTAAATTTCTGCCTATCAGTTTTTGTTCAAGCTAAATATTTGTAATTCGTCGGTTTTCTGGAATGAGCTTTTTGATTGTTTTGCTAGTATATTTTTAGAGTGACCGCGACTAATTAAAGATTAACAAGGAGATACACCTAAAGTTTAAAACATTGATGCGGCTTTTTAACCTTTTTATGGCCATTGTAAATCATAAGGCGAAAATTACATCGCCTGAGCTCCATTGCCGCAAATGAATTCGTGACAGATTTTCTATAAAAAATAAATTTCCAAAAAAAAAACATTCGCTATAATAAATGTCTCATTTTGAAACTATGTGTTTCATTTTCGATGATGTTTAATTGCCAGTATCGAAGAAATGCGTAAAGGGTATCTTATTTTTAGCATGTCCCACGTAAGAAGAATTCATATAGATAGGTTACTATCTAGGTAGCAGCTGATTTTCGGTTTAGTATTCAGACTGAGTTGCTATCATCCTCTTGCCAACTTTTGCTGCCAAGTAGTACAGTACATCCACTGTTGTTTCGGTTTAAAGAGTAAGAGTCAGTATAATAACAGAATGTTAGGCATTTTATCTTTTATCACTTTTCGAGGTCAACACACTTTTCAAAATGAAAGATCTAGCCCGTTACGAGTTAGTTGCATTAGCCACATATCATCATGTATATTATGGGTGCGTTTGGCAGAAAAAAGCGCTAGCAAGCGCTTATAAGCGCTAAAATAGTTTTCGGCCAGGACACGATTGCTACTTCAGTAGCGCTGACACAATCCGCCATTTTGCTTATTTAATTTGTTTGTTTTGAAGTAGAGTTTATAAGTTGTTTTGTGCAATATTAGTTTTAAGTAATATAATGACATGAATAAACATATACATGCTATTAAAAACTCATGATTGGTAAGTTTTTAATATGAATACTTTACAAACATATATTTAAATTAGGTTAGATTCCCCGGTTAAAACTAACATCGTGTCCTGGAGGAAAATAGCTACTTACGATTTGACAGCGCTTACCGCTTACGATCGCCATTTTGCTTACAAGCGCTTGCTAGCGCTTTTTTCTGCCAAACGCACCCATTCAGCTTGTTTATCACTTTAATCTTATAAAAATATGATAAATTTCGATACATAGTTGATTTATTTTCTTACAGATCACAGAATTCCTTGTAGTAATGTCAGAAAACAGCAACGCCTTTAACATAACTTTAACACCCGAATTTACAACAAATTTGCCACCATCTTCCTTACATTCCTTCCGAAGGATACTCAAGAATGAGACTGATAGCGGAGACTTGCCTGAAGTGCTACTGGTTGATCATCAGGGAAAGTTTACAAATACTTATTACGAGTCGGTTTTGGACGACGATAACAATATTGGATTTATTTATCACAATATTAGTGTTGGACCTGAGGGAAAGTGTAAGTGCATTAGCTTTATAATATTTATATTTATAGTTCTAATTAATTACTTTGTCCGTTTTATCAGAAAAAGAACTTTATAATTAATTGTAGGTTTAAAATACCCTGTTTCAATAAAGAAATTCTGTAAATATAAACATATAAAATGTAAAATATTGATTTTGACAACAAATGTCAATTTCGCGACAAATTAATATTTAATAGAAGAATTAGTAATATTTGTAGGCTCGGATGTCGCTTTAAGTAATTGTAATATTTTAATGTGTTTTGAGAAACCATTTTTTATTCATTTATTTATTCTTTTTTGTACACCACAATACAGAAACATCAAGTTATAAAATACAGTTATAACTAAATTAAAGTATGTACAATAGGCGGTCTTATCACTCTGAAAGTGATTTCTTCCAGACAACCTTTGCGTAGAGGAATGATGCAAACAAAAGTTAAAATAGAGGGCATACAAAATAATAATAAAAAATATAATAATACATACAAATAAATATAAGTGAAAATGATATATAAAATATCATATAATAGATTAAATGAAAAGAGTACAAGAAAGGTAAAGTAATTTATCTAATAGCGTTCTAAATAAAACGATTTAACAAGACTTTTGAAAGAGTGAAGAGGCTTAGCACGACGAATATGGAGAGGTAAGGAGTTCCACAATCGCACAGCGGTTACGGTGAAGGATTTATGAAAAAGGAAGAAGAGTGCAAAGGTGCAAAGAGTGAAAGATTGACGGAGGATCGAAGGAAGCTCTTATGGGTAAGAGAAAGATACTGGAAACGGTTTTTTAAATAAAGAGGAGTGGAAGGATTAAACAGCACGCTATACAACGCGGAGAGAATGTGAGTATCCCTGCGAAGGCGAATCGGGAGCCATTTGAGCTGTTTGCGAAATTCGGAGATATGATCATATTTGCGAAGCCCAAATATAAATCTAATGCATAAATTTTGAATGCGCTCAAGCTTATTAAGCTGCTCCTCGGTAATGTCAAGATAGCAAATATCATGTCTGTCATAGTCAAGGATAGGCAGAAGTAAAGACTGGGCGAGTGTAACTTTAGTTGCTGTGGGAAGAAAATTACGTAATCTACGTAAACAGCTTAACGCAGCAAACATTTTTCTACTGACCTCATTAACCTGTGAGGTCCAAGACATACAGGAGTCAAGATACAAACCCAGGTTTTCAACCTTGTTACTGTAAGGGATTAGAGTGCAGTCTAGTATAATAGTGCGTAGGGAAGACCAGTCGATTTTACCAATTAATCTAGAACTACCGATTACATATGACCTGAGTTTTCTTAGGATTAATCGTTAAACCATAACATTTACTTCAATTCGAAATACAAGTCAGATCAGCGTTAACAGTGTCAACTGCTTTAAATAGATCTTCAAGAGAGGACTGAGTATAGATTTGGAGATCATCAGCATACAAGTGGTAGGAAGAGGACAAATTATGACTTATAGAGTTAATGAAAATTGCAAAAAGGAGAGGAGACAACACGCCACCTTGTGGTACACCAACAGCTGTAGTAGTCCAGGTGGAAAAAACCTCTTGCACCTGAATTCGCTGTCGGCGACCAAACAAGTAACTTCGAAACCAGTCAACTACAGTTGGAGATATGTTGAGAGAACGCAGGATGCCTAACAAGATATCAAAATCTACAGTATTAAATGCGTTACTAAAATCAAGTAACGTGAGAATGGTAAGCTTTTGTTTCTCCATACCATACCAAATATCATCAGTGATTTGTAAAAGTGCAGTAGTCGTACTATGGCCAGGATGGAAACCGGATTGCAAGGGATTTAAAAGATTGTGTTTTAAAAGATAGGTGCTTAATTGATTGTGCACAAGACGTTCTAGAACTTTGGAAAAGAAAGGTAAAATAGAGATAGTTCTATAATCAGAAAAACTAGAGGGATTCGACTTTTTCGGAAGGAGAACTACAAATGCAGAATTCAGTGAATTATTCAGGATAGAAGTGATTATAGGTAAAAGGAGATCAATGAGAGGGATGACCATTTTCCGACTAATGCAGTCACTACCAATCGAAATTGAATGGATGGAAATTATGGCTCTCTTAACTTCACAACTGTTAAATTGGCTAAAATTAAAAGCAGAGGTGTCCGGAGTGGAAGCTTTTGAAAGAGAATCCAAAGTAAATTTTTTTTTCTTTATCGTTAATGCAAGACGAAGATGAGAAATGCAAATTAAGTTGATTGAGATCAAAGTTATGGTGTGTGAGATTTTGTCGTAATTTCCCAACTCCTAAGGACTTAAGAAATTTCCAGACCCTAGCAGGGTCAGGATCTTGTACTGATTCATGGATATGGCGTCGTTGTGCTTTTCTACACAGATTGTTGCAACGATTCCGTACTAATCTATACTTCTCTCTATTAAAATCGCTAGGAACTGACTTGTATTTAGCTTTGGCACATTTTTTAATGTGGATGATTTTTTTTATATCATCGGTCAGCCAAGGAGAAGGAGGATGCTTTACACGCACTGGACGAACAGGAGCATGAACGTCGTAAAACTGAATTAACAGAGAGTTGAACAAAGCAACCTGTTCATCAACAGTAGACGCATTAACGACTACACTCCAATCAATCTTTACAGCGTCATTTAAAAGCTGCTCCAAATCCAAGTCACTAAAGTTACGCTGAAGTAGTATCCTTGACTTAGCTTTAGGGGGACGGATTTTGTAAGACAAGTATAAAAGGTCGTGATAGGAAAAAGAATCAGCAGCATGTTGCCCAAATTTAAGAACATGGTCAGGTGAAGACACAAACATTATGTCGAGAAGAGAAGGGGCACAGTTCGGGAAAAAGCGTGTGGCAGAAGTAGGAAGAAGTTTTAAATTTGCTGCTTCAATAATCGATTTAAGTTTTATTGATCTAGCGTTGTTTTTTAAAAGACAAGTATTAAAATCACCCATAACAATACTGTGGCAATAGATAGGTGTAAGATTGTCAAGAATATTTTCTAACGTGGTGAAGTAGTTGTTAGTGAGAGAGGGACTGTAAAAAACTCCGAGAAGTAATTTTGTATGGCCAAGAAGAACTTCGATAAAGAGAAATTCAGCTTCGCTTCCAGTCTGCAAACCATTTGAAACTTGAATTACTGAAAAAGGTATATGAGAGCGCAGATAAATAGCAACATCACCACCGCCCCGATCGGTACGGTCGTTACGAATCATATGAAAACCTGGAAGCGAGTAGGATGTTGATGGAAGACATGGTTTTAACTACGACTCCGAAACAAGGATAGCGTGTATATTTTTGCTATTAAAATTTGACAACATGTCGGGATAATGAGCAGGAATACTTTGAGCATTTATGTGAGTTAGTTTTTGCTAAATTCAGAAAAAGTTGAATCTAACATAATATTTGAGGGTGCAATGCTTTCAAAACTGTAAATACTGCTTAATACATCAGAGGCAGAATCAAAGGCGAAGGAATTGGAACTCTGAACACTATCATCTGAAGAAATCATATTAAATTATATCTGATTACTAAATGTATGTAAAACTAAGTAAATATGTATAAAATAAATGATTCAAAAATAAATAAATCATCAGTACACTACCTGCCAGCATTATGGAAAGAAATGTATAATTCACTTAAAAATAAGTAAAGAAACTGAACGTTAACATACCATAGACACAAAAGTGAGAGGTGTTAACGTAGACAGAGAATGCTAGGATTCTCTGTCTACGGGTGTTAATGTCAGATGAGTCAAAATGTCAAAAGTGACAGTATGTTAACTAGCAATTATCTACCTTACAATATACTTTTATCACTAATAATAAACATTCCAAAAAGAAAGATTATAATAACAATAATTATCAACATACAAAAAAAAATTATAACACTTAATAATAAACATTCCAAAGAGAGATTATTAATCATTACATTTTACTGCCTAATCTACGATTTACAAGGAAAAGTAATGAAGATATGATGATAAAAAGAAAACTAAAATATGAAGTCCAGAGAAAAGTTATAATGGAAATTAACAAAATTATAAAATAAAATTGTTAAAGAAAAAAGTTCATTTTTTACCGGCCCTCTTAGTACGCTGTGGTACACCTTTATCTTCGGGGGCCTTATTTGCCTCAACCACAATAGGATAAACGGGTGAAGTAGAAGTTGACCCGTTGCATGATGCGTCAGCTCAGACAAAGTCTCGAGTTGGTGCCTTGTGCATCTGGAGTTTTGATAATCCCTGGTCCAACATTTGGTGATGCCATACCTTCGCCTAGCTTCTAGAAAAACACTGTGGCGCCTCCTTGTTAGAAACTCAGACTGGGTTATACCTGTGCCCTTAAGTTTGGTTTTGGAGTACCAACCTTGTCTCGCATCACAGTATCGCTGAATTTGACAACCACAGACCTGGAAGATTTATCGGAAGGGCGTCCCAGACGATGACAACGGCTTATGGATGTTTTACTGAAACCTGGAACTAGGAGTTTCGTACTGATAAGTGTACTTATGACGGTGGTAGTATCCTCAGATTTTTCTTCAGGAACTCCATGGAGTAGGATCATCTTTCTGCGGCGACGTATTTCACTACGATCCAGTTCTCTTCCCAGAAGATCTACTTGGTTATGCAAAGATGTTAAAGCAGCCAAGATGAATTTTCTAAAAGTATTAAAATCACCTGGTAGGGAAGATGAAGTTGTGGCAGCAGAACTAGATGTTGCAGTTCCCGCTGAAAGTTATACATTTGACTTTGGAATGACTTTGACATCTCCATAAGTGAACCTTTCAGTGCTTCCATGGTGAAAGTAGTTGTAAAGTGCAGTGATGTTAGAGAAAATACTTGAAAATGAGAGCTGGTAGGTAGTAATTTTTTACATATAAATAATAAACATAAAATTCAAACTCTAACTATTTTTTTAATTCAATTCACCTACCCTCACAGAAACCATTACAATTACATGATTTATTCAAACAACATAAAGATGATCTCATATTAAACTAGGCGTTACAATATCACATGATAATTAAAAATGTATGAATTAGAATTATATACATTTATATTGCGTGTAGGAGCGACGTAAAAGATTCCAAAACCCCATATCATCACGTAGGTATCATAAGAGCAAGTAATAAAAACTGCGTAAGTGCGCCTGAGTGTAAACATTTAGCGTAGTAAAATTATGTTTTACCTCGGTTTGTAGCCACACAATGTGTTCATTTTGTACTAAATAAATGTTTTAATAGACCCGACCAGTAAAATAATGAGCTGTGCCATATTTAGGATGAACATTCATATTTTTTTTATAGGATAACGGTGATAAACAAGCACACAGTCAACCTGATGGTAAGTAGATGCTGTGGCCCATAGACATCTACATTTAACCTCGCTTAAGAATCAAGATGCAGATGCGTTGCCACCGTTGAGGACTAAGATGGATTGCCTCGATTCCAGTAAAACGGGTTTCCGGTTCTCTGCACTCACCATAAGAAACATAGCAGCATTACGCAGCTATTTAATTCTGGTATTCTGTGAGAGCGTGGTCCTGCCTCGGTGAAGCAGACTCATTTGTGCTACTACTATAATATAGTTGCAGCGTGACTCTATCACGTAAAAAAATTTGCATGTTGCCTTACTACATACCTTGACATTGCGTGTCCTTTACAGTAAAAAGCAGAAATGCGGCAATAGTGACAATCACAATCACAATTGTTGGCGTATTATTTTTCATCGTATCATTGGATACTCTTGTTACTCATCATCATCATTACAGTCCTTCACACGTCCACTGCTGAACATAGGCCTCCCCCAAGGTATGCCACAAAGCACGGTCCTGAGCCACCTGCATCCATCGACTTTCTGCATGTCTTACCAGGTCGTCACTCCATCTAGTGGGGGGTCGCCCTACACTTCGCCTACGGGTACGAGGCTGCCACTCGAGAAGCTTTTTTCCCTTGTTACTCAACGATCTTCAAAATTTATATCGTTATATGATTTTTCGAGAATGCCAATTTGGTGCGATTTTATACGCTGGTATTCTGTGAGAGCGTGGTCCTTCCCCGGTCAAGCTGACCGATTCGTGCTACAGCCATGCTAATAGCTGCAGTGTGGCTTTACCACGTGTATAAAATGAGATTATTTAAAGCACCAACGCTACTAATAACCAACCCTTTAACTAAACTTTAAACACCCGAATTTCGAATACCCAACGATTTTTTTCGAATAGTCAACCAAATTTTTTTGTATTAGATAGTGGTTTTTCAAATTAATTTTTATTTTTTGCCGATAGGTCAATTATTAATGTATTAAGTGTTCGAATTTCAGTCACACCAACAGACGAACTTCTAGCAAATGGAATCATGCAAGAGACTGACATTCAAGTGAAAATGTCGCGACTCGCGACTGCACTAGCTAGGACACTTTATCAACGAGTTACCGGCAAAGCGTACAATGGTGACATAACGGCTTCAGCACATTTGGTAAGTTTAGTAAGTTACTAACAAAGACATTTAAGTTTGTAGTAGTAATAGACCGGACGTCAGCAACAAAATTGTCGTCAGTAACTTTTGTCCTATAGGATATATCTCCGATTTTTGTCATTTAGTCTAAGTGATATCACCGAAAGGTCAAGGCGCAGTCGTTTCACAAATTTAAAAAATATTTTTAAAGAAAATATGCCCGGTTGTGCATTAAGGTATAGTAAGTCACGATATGGAGCAAAAAATGAATCGGTTTATTATCCTAAGAATAATATATATTTACCAAATAATCTTAAAATTTTATTATTTCTGGTAGATTATTCCAGAAGAAAGAAAAATTATTGTAATAAGTGCCCTCTGTTATCCAGTAACGTCACTATTTATTTACAAATATGTTAGTAATTGACGACGTGCCTAAAACCGATTTTTACCGTATATATCACCTAATGGCAAATAGCTAAAATGTTTTCCAAATAAATATTCAGCGTAGTATTGCTATTGTTACGAGCTTGAGGTTCGTGACAATAAAAATTGCCGATAGAATTACCTAAATTAACACTTTAATTTTCTTTACACAAATTAAAACTTAAAACACCAATAATTAATCACACTGATTCACTTTATTTCGCTCCGAAGCTTCGCTTGTCTCGCCAAATTCAATACTTCCCCGCTCGCATCTTGAAGCGCCTCTAAATACACATTATCACCGAAACATCCAGAATATTCAAGTAAATACGCGCGCCAATCGACTAAGCGCCGAAAGTTCGAGTGTCGGGCTTCTAGAAGCTAAGTTTTTCGTTTAGATACTAGATGGCGCTGTCGATTGAAACATTAGTGATGTCATTTTCTGGAAAGCTCCCCTCGCTCTCGTCCTCGACACTAGATGGCGCTAGTGCTGGGTACATGGCGTCAACTTAGGCACGCAACACTGCCCCCTCCTAAGACATGCTCGTCCCGAGCATTATCGGCCCCATAATAACGCGCCAAGCGATCCACATGGACGATCTTAGGAGTCCGTCTTGCGCCTTTCTGTAACGGCTCCGCAATGTCAAAGGCTGTCCTATCCCATGGTGCACCAACATTGTACAATTTCGATGCTCCTCTACTACGTGTCTGAGGTCCCCTCACAGCCGCACAACTTGTACATGTACGACACCAATCCTCGACAGTGCCCAGTAAAACTGTTCTCGGATCTTCAGTAGAGTTCATTTAACTCCCAGATGGACCCTTGAACGACCATTATGGCACAGCTGTAGAACATTCGGCACTTTAGCTTTAGGGACAACCATTTCCAAACGACAGCTGTCTCTGACCATTGTCCCATTTACGGCACAGGAATCCATCCTGAATCAGCAAGCTGTCCCATTGGGCCCAATTGCTTTGGGGTAACCGCGTTTGTCACGGGCCTTTTTGGCTTGATGTCCGGATCTTCCTGCTGTGCATGTCTTAGGTTGTCCTTCCACTCGTTGCTGAGGTGGTCTGCCCTGAGCATCCTCACGGATACCACTTCCTTACTCTCTTGCCAGTACAATGTTTGCAATCTTTAGGACAAGGTCTTCTTGACAATGCATCTGCGTTGCCATGAGATTTCCCGCTGCGATGTCTGATAGTAAAGTCGTATCCCGGCTGCTGCTGGGCGGTGATGTTAGCCGCACTTCTCTTCTGAGATCGTTCACCTTCCCTTTCTAGGGTTCGTTTAGGGCAGCTGGATTGAAGGTGGCCCCTTTCGCCACAGCCATAGCACCTAGGGCTGTATCCTTTATTGTGGTCGCGAACCGTAACTGCTGCAACCTCCCTAGCGTGAGGGGAACGATGATGCTGCCACCGCCAGGCGGTGCCGTTAGCAGCACTACCCTCTCGAGATCGATCAACTTCCCTTTCTACAGTTCCCTTAGGGCAGCTGGATCGTAGATGGCCCTTTTTCCCACAGCCATAGCACCTAGGGCTGAATCCTTTATAGCGTCGCGAACTGTAGCTGCTGCAACCTCCCTGACGCGATGGGAACGATGATCCTGCCGCACGGCTTCCACCTCCAGTGCATGGGCCAAGGCGTCCTTAAGCATCTCGTGGTGCCCGAGCCTCACAGCAGCTCTGACTTCAAGGTCGCGGATGCCGTCGATGAATGTCTGAACCAGGTTCCCTTTAATAAGCGCAGGTACAGACCGGTATGCTTTTCGAACCATCTTCTCCACCTCAAAGGCCCACTGCTGCAGGTTTTCGTTGCTGCGTTGCACGCGATCTTTAAGCTGCGCGCGAAAGACGTGTTCCAGGTGAGCGTCGCCATATCTCGCCTCCAACGCCTCAAGGAGTTGCTCGTAGGTCACTTAGAGAGCTTCCAACACAGTTAAGGCTTGGTCGCGCAGGCCTAGTGTGAGAGCAGTCATGGCCTGACTTTTATTCAGCCGTTCGCCTCCATGACGGCCTTCGAACTGGATTTTGTAGGCCGACCAGGAAGAAGTCCCGTCGAACGGCGGCACTTTGAATCCACGTAGCGAAAGTGATGTAGCTATTACAGGAGCTGTTGTTCCATCCCCAAATTTGAGTTCGTCCAGCGTTTTCTTCACGTCAGCCATCACGTTGTCAACCCGATTGTTCACTTGGTCGATTCGGGTTTCAGATTTCTCAATTCGGGTTTCAGCTTCTGACAGGCGGTTGGCATGTTGAGCAACCCTATCCTTCACCTCCTTCATCTCCTTCCCGAAGGTAGCGTGAAGGTCATATGGAGCATCTCTCTCCAACCGACGTGCCTGTTCATCCTGTCCGCCCCGCAGCTGCTCTTCCAACCGACGACCTGTTCCTCCTGCTGCTCTTTCCACTGACGGACCTGTTCCTCCTGTCGGTGAGCCTGTTCCTCCTGTCGCGAGCCTGCTCCTGCAGCATCACCATCAGAGCATATAAGTCAGGTGCTGCAGATGTAGGAGCTACTGACGGCCTGCAGCCGGCGGCTGGCCCTCCGACGTCTGCGGCGTTGCAACCACCAAATCTTCTTTGGTCCGTCTCCTGCTGGCGTTGATTTCGGGTACGGACACCCTCCGTTTCCTCCTTAGGTAAAATCGGCATGATTTTATCCCACTTCTGACACTAATTGTTACGAGCTTGAGGTTCGTGACAATAAAAATTGCCGATAGAATTACCTAAATTAACACTTTAATTTTTTTTTACACAAATTAAAACTTAAAACACCAATAATTAATCACACTGATTCACTTTATTTCGCTCCGAAGCTTCGCTTGTCTCGCCAAATTCAATACTTCCCCGCTCGCATCTTGAAGCGCCTCTAAATACACATTATCACCGAAACATCCAGAATATTCAAGTAAATACGCGCGCCAATCGACCAAGCGCCGAAAGTTCGAGTGTCGGGCTTCTAGAAGCTAAGTTCTTCGTTTAGATACTGGGGCTTCGAGAAAGATTAGTGATGTCATTTTCTGGATAGCTCCCCTCGCTCTCGTCCTCGACACTAGATGGCGCTAGTGCTGGGTACATGACGTCAACTTAGGCGCGCAACACTATTTTTCGCTAGAGGACTTAACACACTTCGTGCTCACAGTTTTTGTATGTGAATGTTCCCAATGTCCGCTCTATAGTTATTATATATTTAAATCTCTTTGGTTATTAAAAACAACTAAAGTAATAGGTATAATTTGCCGCTTTTTATGTTTTAAATTAAATTGTAAAACTTTGTAATTTTTTTATTTAAAAATTAATCCCGCTGGGTTTCATACAATCATTCTATTCAATTCGATTCTGTTGCAACTTAGAAGAGTAGTATTCCCGTTAATTAATGTGAGTAGGCTTCAACGTAGGCGAAATTCTGCTCAACACTGAAACTGCTAGGGAGAAGTAGAACAATCATTAGGAGACTATATTATAAACTTAACGCCGTCCACTACCATCTAGAGACGGCGAAGCAGGCCTTGCTCTTTCTAACCGCGACAAAGGTGTCCTTTTCGGCTGATAATACGTATCTCTTATATACAGGGTAGAAATTGGAACACTCCTTTGTGCCTCAAGCTTGTGTTTGCGTATACGTCAGAGTGAACATCTATTCTCGTCGCCTCGGCAGACTTGTAGGTACGGATCTCTCCATGCCTTAGATAAAGATAAAGATACATTTATTGCATAACTGTGTACTATATGATCTTAGTACAAAAACATATAGTTTTAGGCTCAACAGTTTACCCATATTGGATATCCAACAATTAAAAAAAAAATTAAAATTTACTACGTACTAACATTAATTTTACTAAAAAACTCATTGAGATTGTAAAAAACATTTTCAATTAACAATTTCTTTAATTTTGTTTTGAACATTTTTCCATTTAATTGTTTAATAGCTGGTGGTAACTGATTGTATACACGAATAGCTGTAATATAGGTACTTTTATAATTTTATAAATGTTTAATAATAGGTAAGCTTATATCATATTTATTTCGTATTTATATTGATCTTTTTGATTGCCTTGGCTGCACGTAGACAGAGTCGTCACTTGTTTCTTCGTTTCCACTAAATGATAACATGCGCAGACATTAATAAACAAAAATCGCACCAATTTTACATATCAAAACCCATTTCAAATTATTATTGAAACGATTAAAGCATGAGCAACAATCAGCTTTTGGTCAAATTACCGCCAAAACCCAAAAGTACTTGAAACACTGCACTACTACGTTGAACAGGCGGACGAAATGCTGTACTGCTTCATAAGGAGCCAGGCGTGCCGGTTGCTAATGGCGGCGGACTACGCGACGAGCAGCGAGGAGACACCGAGCGCGCGGGCGTCGCCGCTGTACGTGGGCGTGGCGGCGTGGCCCAGCCCGCCCGCGGTGTTCGCCGGCCACCTGCTGGCGCTGCTCGCCGGACAGCTCCTGCCGCTCGATCGCACCGCCTGCGACGCGCAAACGCAAGTCGTAAGCACGCTACCAGATCCAACTTTCACTATACAATCCTTAACGCTAATAGAAAACTATACTAGAATTGTTTAGTCCGTGCAGTTTGGGTCATAAATCATCGGGGTATTTCGCTCTCTCTCACACGGGTCTTAGGGGCGAGCATTGTGATGCGCATTATTGTTGTCGATAAGCGTTATCGATAGTGTATTTAGTTTTGTCATTATGTAGATTAGTGATAAAAACGAAAAAAAAACATAGATAAAACAACGTATTTATTAAAATAAGAATAATAATGATTTAAAATAAATTATTAATTAGGTATCTATGTATTAAAAAAAACGATAAGTACAAATGTTTGGAATGTAACAAGTTATATTAAAAATAAATATAAAGATAATGACTTATATCTAAACTTAAATCTAAAACGAATCATCAGAATCATCAGAGTCATCATCATCCACATGAATTACGATATCTTCTGCCAGATGAGATTTCTTCTAGTCTTCCTCTTGGAGTTTTTCTGCATGCTTCATACAATGCTGCTTTGCACACAGTGCTGTTTTTGGTGGCAACATCATTGCACTAATTTGCAGGTATTAGGCGGGTGAAATAATGGAAAACAAATGAATGTATACCGCACCGCCGCCGTGTACCTGCCATCAATGATTCGTTTGTTGTTATCGATAATGGCGTTGCGCTCGCGCAACATGCTCACCGTCCTAGCCGGACTGAGGCCGAGCTATGATTTATGACCCCAACTGCACGGACATAATAATTTTACTATAGAAAAATTTACATTTTAAAACTTATTAGCTAAGAGTCCGCATAACAAAATAAAATATGTCTTACCTAGTTCTAAGAGGTAATTAATTAACGAGTAATTTTTAAAATCTTTAATAAAATGGATTTTCGCAGTCACGCGTGATTTAATTAGAACTGTTAAAAATTAATGGGGTCGACGTTAAGTCAAGAGACATCCACTTTTAAATGCTATTCATGCTGTTCATTTTTATAGTTGACTATTAGCTTTGATGATTGCGGAAAGTCGAGGAAAACTTCGTGAAGCATATCTATGATTTTTTTATAGAATTCGGGTGTCAAACGAACACATAATCCACCTGATGACAAGTGGATGCTGAGGGCCATATACATCTACATTTATCAGATGCGTTGTCACCCCTGAAGGCTAAGATGGATTTTCCAGTGAGAAGGGTCTCCGGTTTTATACACCCTTCATATGAAACAGTAGCTATAACATGCTATTTTACCCTGGTATTCTGTAAGAGTGTGGTCATTCCCTGGTCGAGTCGTACCATTCGCGCTATACAACCTTTTAAAGTTTTCAATTTTAAAATAATAATTATATTTCGAAAACATGCGAAGTCAGCAAACACTCATTAGAGCAGCATGCTGAATTCTTCCTTGCCCTAAAACTCTCCGAAATTAAAGGTTACCTGTGTCTGAGCAGCAGAATGGCTGCGCTGCAGTGTTTTGTATAATTAATTTTGAACGGAGATAACTGTCATGAACATTTTACTACTTAAAACTGAAAACAAATAAATAAAAAGCCTACATACAGTCAACCATATCAAAAACTTTCTTCTTGTTTCAATGTTAAAATAACGTTTGTTAAAAAAACTCATAATTTCGATAATGATTTCTTATATTTACGGAAACACTACACATTGATTAAAACTATTTTTAAAACTCGATGTTTCGGGTGTTTTCCAGCACCCATGGTCACGGGAAACTGAAGTGACTGACGTCCTGATGTCAGTTTTGACCCAGAGTACCTTTAGCCTTTTAACTTGTTTATAGTCCGATCTACGCAGAATTCAGTTACTGTGTCTTGAAGCCTTGCAATGTCATTGCTTAGGTTTAGTTTTAATTTTATTAATTATAGGGTCCCAAACAGGTGGTAGTCAATGATTTCAAAAGTAAGGATGGGCCCATCTATATATTTCACTCAAAACTTTTTCATACAAGAAAAAGTAGCGCATCTGTCATAATACAAACGTCATATCAAAACACGACGTAACCAGGGTCGGGTTTCATAGTATAATTATCCTAATTATACAATTATTTCATAGTTTTTAGTATATAGTATCGTAATAATACAAAGCGAAAATATCATAATTTTAGCTAAAGGTCGACTTGTATTATTATAAGGTCCTTTTACATTTTAATATTAACCCTACGATATCGAGAATTTTTGTATTTTACATGAGTACTGCGTCTTTTTAATAAAATTAGAATTAGCTCCTTTTCTGGTCAATCGATTTTCGATCGATGCATTTATGTTGCATCCTTGATGCAACTATAATAAGGGGCTACATTTAGCAATCGGTTTGAAAACAAATTTCAAAATATTTTATGTATCAGATTTTCAGATTCATTTGAGCAGATATGGTTTTTTTGTACTCTTTTCGTTTTAGTCTTATTGAATATAAAATATTGTTACGAGCTTGAGGTTGGTGACAATAAAAATTGCCGATAGAATTACCAAAATTAACTCTTTAATTCACTTTATAGTAATTAAAACTTAGAACACTAATAATTAACCACACTGATTCACTTTATTTCGCTCCGAAGCTTCGCTTGTCTCGCCAAATTCAATACTTCCCCGCTCACATCTTGCACTACAATATATTAGGCACCAATATTCAAAATTTAACTTACACTAAGTTCTTTAGACAAAAATTAAACAGAAATAAAAATAAACCGTCAAAAAACGAAACGTATAGATAAACTAGACGCGTGACGCCAAATTCCCGGCACATTGGAAAAAGGAACAAGAAACGTCAAACGTGATGTAATTTTTTTAAAATAGTATAATTTTAATTTCCATGTACAATATTTTTGAGGATCTGAATCCAACCCTGGCCTAATCTTGGTAACTTATCTAAACTAACTGCAAAATAAAACTTTAAAAATGCGTTTATATAATAATTTAATTGTAACAAAATTAATATAAGGTTATTTACCGATGATACGATATCCCATGTTTTTTTTTTCAATCTCTGTATCGTAATTTTTGCATTCTTTTACCACGCAACTAGACATTTATGTCAAGCAAATCTGTCCTGCGCGCGCACCACTGTCGACCGATTCGCGTTGGCCCTAAACCGTGATTTTAGGGCCAGCGTATAGGTCCGTTTTAGTTGTTCGGTCGGCCCGGTCCTTACGCTAGTGATATATAAGTCAATGGTGGTAGTACCCAGCCTCCTTCCCTATTGAAATTAATGACCTTAGGTGCCCATGGGTGCTGGAAAGTACCAAAAATGTCGGGTATTAAAAATAAAATAAATTAAACGCGATAAATCCGTAAAAGTAGTTTTAATCATAATTTCTTTTTTGAACAGGGCTTCTCATATTACTGGCTGAGAGGCTGGAATCGTAGTGGCGTTTGTGTTCAAACTACAATGAATTTCACTCAGGCTATGAGTCCCGCGTTTATTATTCCCGGTAAGTAATGTTTGTTTATTGACATTGAAATTTATTGAAGCCATATTGTCGCATGTTTCGTTAATTAAATATATTATAATTTCAGATATTCTTTTGTGTTTCATAAACTTTCTATGGTAAATTATTTGATCAAGCTTTGCATTTTGACGTGAAATGGCACATATGTGCAAAACTAATGACTTGATCGAATCTATCGAAATCTAATCAGATGATGTGTGTGACTAGGGTGGCCAAATCGAATGAAGTAAATGAGCATGGGACAAACACGAATGTTGATTGGAAATGACTTAATACTAAATACTATGTAAACTTTTCACGTTCCAGCTGTCACATGTGTTACATAAATATTAATAGCCTATTATTGCATTATCAAAAGCTTGTATGTTAATTATCATTGACATATGTTCCATATACTTCTTATTATTTTGTTATGAATATATGAAGGCATCCGTAATGAATGGCATGCCGTGTAGTGGCGGTTAGGAATATCCACTACCCCGTATCTTCCTGTGGGTGTCGTAAAAGGCGACAGAGGGAAACAGGCAGGAGATGGGCAGCAGCATCTTCCTGATAACAGCAACTGTACGACAAAAAAAACTGCGGTTGCCAACCCGCTCGCCAAGCATGGCAACTATGACAGTATACCCCCATGAATAATTACACAAATAGACGGCCCCCAGTCCCCGGCGGCCCCGCTATTCCTGGCTACGGTGGCGACCATGGTAACGGCGGGGCAGGGGGGTGCTAAGAATTTCCGGTGGAGGTTCGGTTGCCACTTACGACGACTCGACCTGGCAACATTTAACGCACGCACCCTGAGGACTGACGAGAAGATCCTGGAGCTGGAAGAAGAGATAGACAAGTTGCGCTGGAATATTATAGGATTATCCGAGGTCCGAAGAGAGGGGGAGGACACGGTGATTCTCGAATCCGGCAACTTGTTCTATCACCGGGAGGGCGACCATCTGTCCCAAGGAGGTGTCGGATTTATCGTCCACAAGTCTCTCGTCAACAACGTTGTAAAGATTGGGAGTGTGTCGACGAGGGTCGCGACCTGATACTCAGAATCGGTATTCGCTGAAGGTCATACAGGTTTACGCACCAACCTCGTCACATCCCGATGAGGAGGTGGAGGAAATGTATGAGGATATTTCCAAAGCCATGCATTCCTCCAAAACCCACTACACGGTGTTGATAGGAGACTTCAACGCAAAACTAGGCACAAGAGAAAAGGATGAGCTGAAGTTAGGGAAATTTGGAGTGGGGCAACGGAACCGAAGGGGCCAGCAGCTGGCCGACTTTATGGAGAAAGAGGGACTCTTTATGATGAACTCTTTCTTCCAGAAGCGGCCCCACAGGAAGTGGACCTGGTCGCGCCCCGACGGTTCGACAAAAAATGAGATTGACTTCATTATGACGACCAGACGCCAACTGTTCAGTGATGTCTCAGTGATCGCAAGTGTGAAAACTGGCAGCGATCACCGAATGGTTAGAGGCACACTGAACCTAAACGTTAAGTTGGAGAGGTCTCGTCTAATGAAGTCAACGCTCCGTCCCCCTCGTGCTCTAATCCAGACAACTTTCAGCTCGAGTTACGTAACCGCTTTCAGTGCCTACAAGATTGCAATGCAGTGGACGATATGAATGACAAGCTCGTGGAAACTGTCCATGCGGTCGGAGCTAAGTTCTGCAAAACCCGCCGCAGAAGAACACAAAAACTCTCCGATCACACTCTTAATCTCATGGCTGTTAGACGGGAGATGAGGCTGCAATTGTCAATAGATTTGACAGCATACAGGCAACTGAACAGACAGATCTCCAAATGCATGCGGCGAGACTTACGCAACTTTAATACTGCTCGTATTAAAGAAGCGCTCGAGCTGTCTGCCAGTAAGAACCAACTGTCAAAGCTGAAGACTGAGTGTGGCAGCATCGTTTCCGGGACACCTGAGATTTTGAGTGAGATTGAGAGGTTCTATGGGCAGCTGTACACATTATCGTTGGAGCCACACGCAAGTGTGAGTGACGATTCAAGAGCAAGTCTTATCCGACACTATTCCGATGATATCCCGGACGTCAGTCTAAAGCGAGATTAGAATGGCTCTCCAGCACCTTAAAAACGGCAGGGACCCAGGCGAGGGTGGAATTACAGCGGAGCTTCTGAAAGCGGGTGGAACACCGGTACTTGAAGTCCTTCAGAAGCTCTTCAATTCCGTCCTCCATCCGGTGGCACTACACCAGAGGCGTGGAGCAGAAGTGCGGTGGTCTTGTTCTTTAAGAAAGGCGACAACGCTCTCTTGAAGAACTACAGACCGATTTCCCTTCTGAGCCGCGTCTACGTGCTGTTTTCGAGAGTCATTAAGAATCGTCTCGCACGCAGACTTGACGACTTCCAGCCTCCCGAACAAGCCGGTTTCCGAAAAGGCTTCAGTACCATAGCCATACGGTGTTGTACAACTGCCACTTTGCCATGTATGCCAGTATGTGGACTATGAGAAAGCCTTTGATTCCGTCGAATGGGCGGTGCTACAGTCCCTTCAGCGTGCCAAGTTGACTGTCGGTATATCGAAGTGCTGAAGTGTTTGTACAGTAGGGCTACGATGGCTATCCGAGTACAGAACCAGAGCTCGAAACGTATCCAACTGAGAGGTGTTACGGGTGACGTTATATCCCCGAAACTCTTCACCGCTGCATTGGAAGACGTTTTCAAGCTACTGGACTGGAAAGGATACGGTATTAACATCAATGGCGAGTACATCACTCACCTTCGTTTTGCCGACGATATAGTCCTTATGGCAGAATCGCTGGAGGATCATATGCTCAATGACCTCAATAGTGCCTCCCAACGGATAGGTCTTAAGATGAACATGGACAAAACAAAGATCATGTTTAATGTCCATGTCACACCTATGCCGGTAGTTGTTGGGAGCACTATGCTCGAAGTTGTTGACGATGGGACAAATAGTCCTACTAGGTAAGTCCAACTTCGACCGAGAGGTCAATCGACGGATTCAACTCGGCTGGGCAGCGTTCGGGAAATTACGACACATCTTCTCGTCAGGTATACCTCAATCTCTAAAAACTAGATTGTACAACCAGTGCGTGTTGCCAGTGATGACTTATGGATCTGAGACGTGGTCCTTCTCTGCTGGCCGTATGAGGACGCTCAAGGTCGCTCGGCGAGCTATGGAGAGGGCTATGCTCGGAGTTTCTCTGCGTGATAGACTCAGAAATGAGGATATCCGCAGTAAAACCAGAGTGACCGACATAGCCCAACGGATTAGTAAGCTGAAGTGGCAATGGGCCGGCCATATAGCTCGAAGAACCGATAACCGATGGGGAAGAAATGTTCTCGAGTGGCAGCCTTGTGTCTCTAGGCGTAGTGTAGGGCGACCCCCCACTAGATGGAGTGACCTGGTAAGATATGCAGGAAGTCGATGGATGCAGGTGGCTCAGGACCGTGCTTTGTGGCATTACTTGGGGGAGGCCTATGTTCAGCAGTGGACTTGTGAAGGGCTGTAATGATGATGATGATGATCCGTAATGAAGATACTGTGTACATCTAGAGTAATTGACATAAAGTGATATTGGTGGCTTGGAGTCGCGTATCAATTTGATTTGTGGTGGATTGTAATCATGATGATAATGACGATGGCATAAAATAAGCACCAAATAAAAACTAAGACCGCTTGATAGCGCAGTTTCTAAGCAAATTGGGAATGGCATTATAGGCCGTGGATTCGATTTCCGCAAGTTACGGGCATCGATATGACCTATAGAAAATGTTTGCTTATGTAAAAGGTTTAACAATACGGAGGAATTCTTTATGTGGGTACACCAAATCACCAGCTTTCTTGCAGATCGGAGCATCAAGGTCGTTGTAGACGGTGCAAGCTTCGATTACAAGCCTATTAATGCTGGTATTCCACAAGGCTGCGTGCTATCGCCAACGCTGTTTCTTCTGCATATCAATGATGATCACAGATGACAGCACTGGTGATGCTCTGTACACCGGCCGTGCCAATATTTCTCGGGAAATCGTCCCCGAGTACCGAGACAAACTTGTGTCTGAAGTCGAGTCTTTGCTGACAAAGTCTCAAACAAAGTCTCGGATTGGGGGCGATTAAATCTAGTCCAGTTTAACCCTCAGAAGACACAAGTTTGCGCGTTAACCGCTAAAAAACCCCTTTGTCGTATCTCCTCAGTTTCAAGGCACTCTCCTTGTTGCCTCAACCAGAATCCTTGGCGTCGACATATCGAGTGACGTGCAGTTTCGTGGTCACTTGGCCTCTAAAAAGCTTGGCGTGCTCACCAGAGCGGGACATATTTCACGCCGGCACACCGCCTGCAACTTTACAAGGCGCAGGTTTGGTCGCACGTGGAATACTGTTCCCATCTCTGGGCTAGGGCTCCCCAGTGCCAGCTCCTTCCACTTGACCACATCCAGCGCAGAGCGGCTCGAATCGTCGACGACCGAGTGCTTGCCGATCGGCTCGATTCACTGGCGCTACGAAGAGATGTTGCATCTCTTAGCATTTTCTTTCGCATATACCACGGGGAGTGCTCTGAGGAATTGTTCGGATTAATCCCAGCCGCCAAATTTCGTGAACGCACTACGCGGTAAAAGTCCCGATACCATCCACACCATCTGGGTGCTTCGCAGTCCACCACTGTACGTTTCACAATGAGTTTTCTTCCGCGTACAACCTCTCTGTGGAATAGTTTACCACCGGCTATTTTTCCGGACCGATACGACCTAGGGACTTTCAATTAAAAAAAACAATAAAAATACCGCCGATTTGATTTTCGCACGAAATAGGTTTTAGTATGACCTATAGACAATAATCACTAGTGTTTGTAAAACGATACAGAAGAAGTTCTCTATGTGGGTAAAGAATGATTTAGGAAATAATAATATTAATTAATTCTAGTAATATGTACCTCGTACTAGAAGGTACATCTAGACTTGGTTTGTTTGCTTGACTTAAACTTAGCTTGTGTTATAAAAAGGTACTGTGTATCTCCGAACGCGCGCCCCGCACATTTATGTTCGCGGCGTCAAATCTAATACGTTGTACATATTTACCGGTATCGTTTAGGGAGGATATTCGCTATAGTTGTCACGCTTTGAAAGCGGGTTGGCAATAGCAGATTTTAAATTTTTAGTCGTTATTAAAAAACCCGCTGCTGCCTACCTTCTGATTTGTTTCCCTCTGTCGCCTCTTACGATACCCACGGGATGATATGGGGAAGGGGATATTCTTACACCGCCAGTACGTGGTCAGTACTTAGAACGCGTTGTAGCTTACAAATTACCGAAACCGACCTGATGTTGTATTGTAGTTTATGGTACTTTACTGTCAATGGAATCAATGATAGCAAAATACCATAAACTGAGTTGGACTTAACTTATAGACATACGAAAAACGTATATTGAATAATATTTTTTTTTGCGGTCTTTACCGGCGGGTATGAGTATAGATAGCGACAGTGTGCGAGCGAGAGGTGATTAGAGGCGACGATATTTTCAATCCCACCTTTTAACCTTACGGGTAGTAAATAATATTAAGTTCAATGTATTAATTAGAGGTTGTGTGTCGTATTCAGATTACGAGATGTCGTCGGGCATGTACTCGACGTGGACAGAGTCGGTGTGGCAGGCGATGTCGGCGCGCGTGTTCGTGTCGGCGAGCGGCGCGGGAGCACGCGCGGCCGCGCTGTGCGGCGCCGGTGCCACCGTCCTCGCCGCCGCACTCACCTTCTGGCTGCGCCGCCACGCCGCCGCACTCTTCCCGCACGCGCCCGCCCCGCTGCACACCGACGACGCGCGGTTAGTATAGCCAGCGCCCGAACACTTGTATGCGACGCCGGCGGCACCTCTGTTTACCTTTAATTACCGCAATCTGCCAACTGTCACTTGTAAAGTACGGCTTGCAAAGAAAATTATGTATTTTATAACTACATAAATCCATGTTCTATTTTATGAGATAAAAGCAGCAGGATAATGTTGACCAGTCAGACAGTGATGCAGAAATAAGTGAAATTGAAATGCTTCATTCTAAATAATACTTATTAGTTCATATTTTATTTTATAAATATGTATTATTTCAAAAATATCTGTTTTGTCTGATTTGAATTGACAGCTATGACGTCAAAATATGACGCCAGGTCAGTTCTCTGTTGAGCGAACTGCAGAAATGTGATGTGTTGACTTTGAGCACCTCATTGTTGTGAGCGTTTACAGACCCCCATGTTCTTTATATGATACTTTTGAAAAAATTTTGGAGGAAGTTTTTGCTAAGCCTAATAAACAGAATAAATCTATTGTAATATGTGGAGACTTTAATATCAATCTCCTACAAGCTTCCTCCACCAATATTAAATTTAGATCATTGTTTAAATCTTATGGTCTTTTTAATTTATTTTTGTAGCCAACGTGTATTGCTGAATCTCGTATTGTTCAAAAATTGAGCTCTGATCACTGTGTACAATTAGTTTCGTTACCTTATGTTCACAAAAAGCAAGTAAATAAAAAAGTTGTGTTTGTTCCAGTAAATGCACGTGGCTTGGAGAAGTTTAGAAGTAACATAGTAAAAAAACTTCCATCACTTTCATACCAAAATAATCCAGATTTTTTGTATGGAACATTATTTAAGCTTATTTGCAATGAATTTAATAATACTTTTACTTCTAAAACACTCTCCTTGAACAATCGCAAGGCATTTAATGAATGGGCGACAGTAGGAGTCCATAAGAGTAGACAAAGGTAATATGAACTTTATAATGAAAGGTCATATAATCCTAGCGTGAATTTAGGGAATATGTAAAAAAAATATTCCAAAATATTTAAAAGAGTGTGCTCCATAGCCAAGTAATGACTTGGCTATGGAGCACACTCTTTTTCTTCTTTATTTGAGCAACAAAATAAAGACGGCTTCTAATATTAGTACATGAAGTATAATTATGTGAAACTGGTAGGTCAACTCGCAATGAAAAGTTAAGTTAATATTACTTATCTTGTGGTTTCGGGAATATTTTACTGATATTTCTAACTAAGTCAAAAGAACTTCTCATGCCGTCGCCGAATCATTACTTAAACAAAATGTAAATGCGTGTACAAAGTATTTTACATTTCATAAAGTGTCATCAAAAAATATACCAAAATATTTTAAGACTATTGATATTAAGAAAACCGCCGATCTGTGGGGGATTTCCGTTAAAGTTATTGCGTATATAATAGATGCAATCGCACCTCAACTATCTATTATTTTTTATACTAGTATCAAATCTGGCGTATTTCCTGATTTAATGAAGCATAGTAAAGTAATATCTTTATTAAAATCTGGCAGTACATTGGACCTCGCTAATTTTAGACCTATTTCTGTACTGCCAACACTTAGTAAAATTTTTGAAAAAATTATTCTTGATCAAATGTTAATTTTTTTAATGTAAATAACTTACTTCATAAAAATCAAATCGGTTTTACAAGGGGTCGCTTGACAACTGATGCTGGTTTTGAGCTTATTAAATATATCTTTAACGCATGGGAGAATTCACAGGATGCTTTGGGTATATTCTGTGACCTATCCAAGACCTTCGATTGTGTTCACCATGAAACATTAATCAGGAAACTTCACACTACGGTGTAAGAAGTGATGCTCTTAAATTAATTATTTCATATTTAAGTGACAGAACGCAAAAAGTTGTCATTAATAGTATGAGTTCTTCCCGGTCGATTGTACAAATGGGCGTGCCTCAGGGCTCAATTCTCGGCCCCATTCTGTTTCTTCTATATATTAATGACTTACCTTTCATAGTAGGGGATAACCATGATATAGTATTATTTGCTGATGATATTGTAAAACGACAGTTATTAAATTACGACGAAGTAAATAATGCTATAGCTAAGTTAGTCAATTGGTTTAATGTTAATAATTTGCATTTAAATAGAACTAAAACTAAATGTATGAAATTCGTAACTCCTAATGTCTGAACTGAGTCTTGTTGATACCACCATTTTTCTTGGAATCACACTAGACGCAAAGCTTCAATGGCTCTCACATATATCAAAACTAGCTAGCAGACTTAGTGCTGCAGCATATGCTGTAAAAAAGATTAGAACTCTTACCAGTGTTGAAACAGATAGAATAGTTTACTTTAGTTATTTCCATAGCATTATGTCGTATGGTATTTTGCTATGGGGACACGCGACTGACACTGAAATTATATTTATTTTACAGAAGAGGGCCATTAGAGCAATATATAACTTAAAACCAAAAGAGTCACTGAGACAAAAATTTAAGGAAATTAATATAAAATCTGGCCTCTCAATACATTTATGAAAATGTAATGTACGTACACAAAAATAAAAGTGGTATTGCAGAAATAAGTGATATTCGTTCTGTAAATACTAGAAACAGACACAAGTTAGTAGTACCAGTTACTCGACTCCACCGAGTCAGTAATTCATTCTTGGGGCGATGTATACGCTTTTACAACAAAATCCCAGAAAATATACAAAATTTGTCATACGCAAAGTTCAAAAATTTTATTAAACTAAGTTTGTATAAAAAGGGTTATTATAATATTAAAGAATTTATGGATGATAATAACCCCTGGGAAGGGTGATCGCTACCAAGCTATTTCTAATTTGTCTTGTGTTGTTAATTGTAAACATGATTGTAAGCTATTATTTGAAAAAAAAATTGTCCCGCTGGGTTTCTTGCTGAATCTACATTGAATAAAAAGTTTCTGTTTCTATTCTTATTTGAATCACATATTATACTTCTAAACATGGAGGTTAGAGAACAGGAGAACGATCGCTACGTACTAAAGCATAGCCCGCCTGTCCTTGAAAATTTGTAGAATTTATAGCGGCGCTGCCGTCGGTGAGTAGTGGCTGCGAAGTTAGCTGTTTATGAGTAAAAGTAGATGAAGTTAATTGAATAATGTACAATTTTTCTTGCGGCATTGGTGAGAAAATTTTCATGCTCCGTTATTTTTTAATTTTTGACAAAAAGAAACATTAAAAAACGGAGAAATATTTAATTGTGCATGGATGTGCAAGTGTTTTAGCATCTGATCGGAAAAATATCATGAAAATGACTTTTATTGAGCGAACTTAGCGATCGCAGTACCTCACTTATGGTGTTCATATTTCTGGGACACTATTTTTTACGGCGATCGTTCTCCTGTTCTCTAACCTCCTTGCTTCTAAACGTGCTCTATGGCCTCGTGATAAAGAAACAATAACTGCTTAATGACTGCTTCCGTTCACCAGATGTCGCTTGTTGGTACTGATGTGAAGCTTTTTGTCATAATCTTATTTTTAATACACAAAGTTATGCCTCAGTGGTTTGCTCTTTATTTTTGCACATTTTTAATATTTTTTTAATTTTTATACTTTTATGTATATTTATAGATTGGTTTATATGTTTCAAGTCTAATTAATATAAAATATAACTAATATTTCAGAAAGAGACATTCATCGTTACACTTTTGTAAAAAAATTACTTCATCGCTATGAAATTTGATATTTCTCCTCATCCATAGAGGAGCCGCCCTGGTTACTGAAAAGTAATAAAATAAATATATAAATATAAATAAAAATACCATCATTAATACGCGACTTTCCGGCAAAAATTATTATAATCAATTTATGAATTGGTTATATTTAAAAAATGTGACATTTGAAATTTAAACATTTATGAGCGGCCAGGAGTACAGAGCTTACAGTGTACCCTAAAGACTTCCATGTATACTATTAGACGAACTCTGCTGTTAATACATTGCGCACTTATATTTTTTTAGTCGACTGCGTTCAGCCGAAAAGACAATTCTCGATGTTTTGTAAACCGCGAACGTTGTTTTCGAAAAACTAACACTACAATTAGGAAACGGGGGATGAGTCGCTCGCGTCCGTAGGCTTCGACTACCTAGCCTTAGGCCCACCCTACACGTGTCCTCCCGGGTGGTTAGTACCACCTGGGGGACACATGTAAGGTGGGACAAACGAGTGACAAGTCGAAAGTATAGACTCCTCGCCGCCTACGCCGTATGATAGTGGCGTAAAATCTACCAACCCTAGTTCGCACCATGAGGCGTAAAATAAAAGAAATGGCCTCGAGTTCCCGGCGCCCGGCGGTTACCCGTCACGTTCTATTGTATCCTGGAGGGGCGAAAAGTGGATGGCGGAAGCCCGTCTGACTATGCTGAATGTATGTAGAGCGACGAATGATAAGATGGATGAAGTATGCGAAATGATGAATGGTAGAGGATATAGATGTGTTATTTGTAAATGAGACAAAACGTAAGGGAAAGGATACCACGACACATGGCATGTACACCGCTTACTGGTCTGGTGTAGACGAGACCGAGCGGGCATGCCAGGGAGTCAGTACCATCCTTTCAGAAAGAAATTGTGAAAGGCTGCTATGGTTACGAATTACAGTGGGCTTAAAGAAGATGTTTGTGCTAGGGGTGTACGCCCCAGACATGTCTAAACCCCATTTATATCCGAGAGCAGTTTTAGGACACGGTAAGGATGGTGTTGATGAAATGTAATGTAAATGAAAATATTATTATGTTAGAAGATTTTTATGAGAAAGTTGGAGTGAAGAGGTCTGGTTATGAAAGGATATCGGGAAAGTCTTGTCGTCACGTATCATCAACGTGGTAGAATGGTGAGGGAGGCCTATGTGTGGAAAAGAATCTTTTCGTGACGAACACTTTCTTTCGTCATAAGAAGAATATATAGATTACAATAGAAGCATAGTAGATTTCATAATTGTAGATAAAAGAATGAGGAGCCCAGTGATAGATACAAGGATT